GCGAGGTGGGCCCCGATCTGTCGGACGCCCAATTTGGTTTTCGGGCGGGGCGTTCGACGGTCGACGCCGTGTTGCGCCTGAGGGCCGTGACCGAAGAGGCCGTGAGCTGTGGCGGCGTGCTGTTGGCGGTGTCATTGGACATCGCCAACGCATTCAATAGTCTGCCATTCAGCTGCATCAGGGAAGCACTCCACTATCATGGGGTGCCAAAGTACCTGAGGCGGCTGGTGGCAGACTATTTAGAGGAGCGTACCGTCGTGTACGAGGACCGAGAAGGTAATCTGAGGTGTCGGCCCATGTCGTGCGGTGTTCCACAGGGGTCTGTTCTTGGACCCCTCTTGTGGAACATAGGGTACGACTGGGCCCTTCGCGCCGATTTCCCCCCCGGGCTGGGTCTAATCTGTTACGCAGACGATACCCTCGTGACAGCCCGGGGGGCAAACTTCCAAGAGGCGGCGCGCCTGGCCACAAGGGGAGTCTCCCTGGTGGTCGGGCGCATTGAGGCGCTGGGCTTACGGGTGGCCCTAGATAAGACGGAGGCCCTGTTATTCCATGGGCCCCGTCGTGGTCCACCCCCTGGCGCCTCCATCGTGGTCAACTCGGTCCTCGTACCGGTTCGGGCCCAGATGAAATATCTGGGCCTGATCCTCGACGGTAGGTGGCTCTTCGACGAGCACTTCCGACAGCTTGCTCCAAAGCTGGTCGGCGCTGCGTCCGCCCTAGGGCGACTTCTGCCCAATATGGGTGGACCCAGCGTCGCGACAAGACGGCTGTACACGGGGGTTGTCCGGTCAATGGCACTGTACGGTGCACCGGTGTGGGCGGCGGCTCTGACCGCCCAGAATAGGGTACGCCTCTGGCGCCCTCAGAGGGTAATGGCGGTCAGAGCCATACGCGGTTACCGCACCGTTTCGACGGAGGTGGCGTGCGCGTTGGCCGGAACTCCCCCGTGGGATTTGGAGGCGGAAGTGCTCGCCGAGGTTTATCGGCGAGTGGCTGACTGCCGGGCGGAGAGCGGATTTCGCCCTCCGCCCGAGGATGTGCGCGAGTGGCGCGAAGCCGCTCGCCGAGCCACGATGGCTCGTTGGTCGTTCCGGCTGGAGACTCCACGCGCTGGCTTCGCCGCCGTGGAGGCTTTCCAGCCGGTCATCGCCGAGTGGGCAGGGCGGCAGCACGGGACCCTTTCCTTCCGACTGACGCAGGTGCTTTCCGGGCACGGTTGCTTCGGAAAGTACCTGCACACGGTCGCTAGGAGGGAACTGAGTCCCGCCTGCCACCACTGCGACTGCAGTGAGGACTCGGCCCAGCACACGCTGGCGGTCTGCCCCGCATGGGCGGCGCAGCGCCGGGCCCTCACTGCAGTCATCGGAGTGGATCTCTCGCTACCGGCCGTAGTACGCTCCATGGCCGGTAGCGACAGTTGTTTTACCGCGGTCGCAACCTTCTGCGAGGTAGTAATCTCGCGGAAGGAGGCGGCGGAGAGGGCCCGGGAGGACGACCTCCACTCGGACCCGATCCGCCGCCGGCGAACCGGGCGGCGGAGGCCCGCCTATCACAGCCTCATGCCGCCCTGAGTGTGGCCGCGGGTGGACGGGGTGGGTTTCCCCTCCACCCGCATTAGTTGGCCAGCCGCGAGGGGGCGGCGTCCGCGTGTGCCGGACGTCGCCTAAAGAGAGGAAAATGTATTGAGACGGAGCCCGCAACAGGAGCGGGCTGGCGCTAGGAGGGGTCCGGATGTCTTAACAACAGCTGTTCCCGGATCCCTCCTGTTACAGGCGCAGAGTGGCACACCGTGTGGTTTTAGTCGGTCCGAGTCCGACACACCACCCCGCCGCAAACCCCGGAGGGGTGACGGTCCGAGGGGATTTCCACACGTTAAAAAAAAAAAAAAAAAAAAGGTTCGTGTGGTGGCGGATTAAGAATACCACCCCTATTCATTCCGTGGGTGTCGTAAGAGGCAACTAAGGGAGAGTTTGCTCCCTTAGTCGTAGGACAATAGCTTTGCAAAGAGAAGGCAAACTTGAAAAAAACCAAACCAAACCGTCGTGCCAGCATACTATAAAAGGCCAAAACCTCCTTTATAAGAAGAGAATTATTAAAGTAATAAGTTGTATAATTACACTACACTATCACATAGCCATTGCCACTGTTTACTGTTATCCGTACAATTATTACTGAGCTGAATATTGAGGGTTTGAAATATTGGGTTCTGAGTCTGGGTGTTCTTTGTATCCGTTTCATGTATATAGAAACACAGGATATATATTCAAGTCAAAGTGTCAAGTTAAAATGTAAACGTTTATTATACAATAAAATAATACAGATTCGACATGTTCAACTCAAATAGATAAGTTATAACTTGCATGCAAGGTCGCATACCTTGCATGCAAGTTATAACTTATCTATTTACACACGCCTCGCAAAGCGCGCCTTATATAAATTTGCCTCGAGTAAAAATCAAAACAGCACGACTGACCAATGGTTGGGTGGATCGCGGTCGGCCAAACGCGTGCAAAGCGCTTGCCTCGCAATGTGCGTACCTTCAATTATGACGAGGCATATGCTACAGAGGCGAGCCAGCAAAACAGCAAGTTTTTTCTTTTCTTGTTTTTTTCAACCATTGAATGAATTTTACAAAAAGCAACAGCGGCTACGTGTTATGATTATGGTATATACTGCTGGGTTGATCCTAGCATGATCCGGATGACAAGAGATTCATTTTCTCAGCCTAGGCGTGCGTCTTGCATTGCACACACCTCTCATAGTCGTCCACACGACCACACTTTGATCGCGGAACATTCGCCGATACACGCTGGCTCGCCCTGACACTGCGTAGCTCAGGCCTCGCCATGACTATTAACATCCACACATTGTAAAGCATGCGATGAACGGTGATTTACTGTACATACCACGCCATGACTGTACTCGTATCTGCCTTAAAAAGGGTGCAATTCACCGAATTGGGATTAGAATTTGGTTTTCATTGCGCTATAAGCAGAAGAAGAAAGAATGTGTTACAAAATTGTGCTACTGTTGCTATTCGCTGGATTAAGATAATATTACTTTTTATTGAAAAAGGGTGTCATTTTATTGACATTCTAAACCCTTGACGTGAATTGACTCTTATGCCTTCATACCATATACATAGTTCTATTAATTTAGGTATATTCATTTACTATTGCAGTGTTTTTGCATACCTGACGGGTAGTAGCTATACATTCCACAGACATCCTTGAAATTTATGGAATGCGTTGGTATTTTCAATGTCTAGTAAGTTAGACCTTTATCTTATTTATAAAGTTCTACTTAGGTAAGAGTATTCGATTCGGTTTTCTTGTATGAATGACGCTGTTCTTTACACACAGAGTCAATCATTTTGTTTCTGTGCGAGTCGTAGCAGTTTTACCCAGCTGAGATCACGTGTAGTGTGCAGTGTGAGCATTAAAATACAAACCCACACGAGCGAAAAGTCAATCATAAGTACTATTAATAGAAACTTGAAACTACTTCAATTTTGATGATAACATCATTAGTAGTACAGTAATTAGCACAGTAATTAGCACGCCGTTTGATGTGCCGCTTTGTGCACAATGAATTAATTTTGCTTTTTGAGATTTACATGATAAAGGCTTTAAAATAACTGATACATGTTCTTTGGTAGCACCCAACGATGCAAAAAAACTTGCTTCAATTGAAAACCACTGTGTCTACACAGTGTCTAAACTACATAAAAGGTATGCTTCATAATATAAATACTATCAAGGACAGTGGCACTTTATCTGTAGCGAGTATCATCCATTCCCTATTGCTCCCTACTTATTTAATACCACACCTAATATTCTAATTCAGTACTTATGACTGAATCTGTCACTCGTGGGGCAAACACCTTTAATTTGTCTCTTTCGCATCCCTGGGTTTGTCGTGTCTTTCTTCTCCGTTCAGCCTATTCTTCTATGGATAGAGCAGCATAAATGCGAAAGTGTGTCTCTGTGTCTACCGGTTCATTTGGTTATTCGGGATAACAAACATATTCATTTTCACCTCTTTTCGCTTAAACCACTGAACCGATTTAGACGAAAATTTGGTATAGAGATAGTTCGAGTCCCAGGAAAAGACATAGGATAGTTTTTATCAAAAATTTAAAAAATATAAACTACAAATACATGCTTGCCATAAAGCGATTAAAACAGATACTCGTACTTGCAAATGCATTTAAGAAATGGCAAAGAATGAATTACAACTATGGAACACCATCAAAATAACAACAACAAGGATCATATGGCATTTCCTGACGTCAGGTGCAAACCATTGACAGTAGCTGAGTCCAGTGATTCCCTCAGTTCAGCCGCTAGGGCTTTGGGGCTACTGTTGGCGGCGCCCACTACGAGGAGCCGGGCTCCCGTCCGTGTTTTTGTTTGTTTTACTTTTAAAAACCGCGCGACCAGTGAACCAGTGAAGAGACGGCTGAACCGATTTAAACCACGAGCTAACCGAGTCAACTCGGTTCATGCTCGAACCGGTTTAAACCGTTTAGAAAATTCGAGTTGTTACACCACTAACTAATCCCGGTATCAAGATGAAATGAATACAATATAAGCGTAGGGTAACCAATTTTGCAATTAACCGATTGCGAGAAAATCGTGTACTTCAATTCACAAACTGAATTATATTTTATTAGCATTTCCCAAAACAATGAGTTTTTTTTTAGTATTTTAGGTAAGAAACATAGGAATAAATGTTCAAAATTCGCCAGCAATGATGAATTGGTACAAACAATTATAGATTCCTTTATTGAGGAAGCGAGTAAATAAACTTACGAAATGTTGTAATTTTTTGTTGTTCCTTGAAACAAGTAGTATCGTTTCTAAGATAATATAATAATTACCTCATTCCAAATGACTTCACGACTGGGATTTTTATATAAAAACGTATGATTGTGTTAGGTTCAGTCATAATCTTTTGGAAGTTCAAACGTAACAATAGGAAAACATCTTGACAAGATGGCAAAACTTAACTACCACATTTTGAGTGCTACGATTGTGGTTATTAGTTTGACTAAAGTTTTTGTAAGTATAAACTTGATTTTTTCTATACGGTACCGGTATAATCGTACCATGCACAAACCTTGTCTTAAATTCTTGTTCGACAAGAATTGGAAAACCGGTAAAATTTTGAACTCTGAGTTAATAATAATAATATTAATAGTCTACCACATTCACACAACGCCATCTAGTCCCAAACTAAGCAGAGCTTGTACTATGGGTACTAGACAACTGATATAAATACATATATACTTTTTTTTTGTAAATACATACTTATTATACATAGAAACACCCAGACCAAATCAAACATTAAATGTTAATGCACACATAATGTTTGATTTATACAAAATTGATACATAGACGTCTACATCCGAAATAGTTGACAGACGCGTAATAAGAACCCACATTTTGCCTCTCGCATTTTTAGTCCCACATTCATTCGAAGTGGCTTTTATTGACCTTTAATGTAATTAATTGTGTTCAACATTGACTATTTTACGATTTTATAATTCTTTATTTCAGGCCCTCACCGATGAAGATAAGGCTATTGTAAGTGCGATTATGGCACCAATCACAGCAGATTGTTCTTCGGAGCACGGTGTAAGTGAGGGAGAGATTAAATCAGCAAAGGATTCTTACAATACAGATGGTCTTAACTCCTGTTTCTTAGGATGTGTCTTAAAGAAAACAGAATTCGTAAGTACCTGTTAGGTCTTTTAAAATAAATATGAAAAAAAAATGTAACTTGCAGTATGAAAAGACTTCAAGGGCTTCAGGTTATATTAATAATAGCAGCAATACTAAAAGATGTATCGTAGTAAGAGTACGATGAGATATATTTTTAATAAAAAAAATAGCTAAAAACTTAGCTAAATACCTTGTGACTAACTGGTTGCAGGTGGGATCCCATTAAAATCCCCTTTTAATACAAACATTTACAAGGACGAGTTAAAAAAGAGAATACTAGTAATATGTGATAAACGTTGCTAGTAAAAAAAAATAATACACAAATACATACTCTGACTATATTTTCAGATCAACAGCAAAGGTCTTCTCGATGTGGAGACAGGCCTCAATAAAGCGAAAGGTCTGCTAAAAAACCACGATGAATTTGACAAATTCGAAGAGATTGGCAAAGTATGCTCAAAAGGTTGGTATCACTTTATTACTATACAACAATTAAAGTAATTTTAGGCCGAGTCAGAAAGCAAATGGGACGAGGCAGCGATTTAAAATGTACTAGCCCGATATAATTAGAGAGTACTACTACCGTAATGTAACTTTTACTGGGTAATAAAGTCATTATAGCTCCAATTGTAAAGTAATACATAACACAAGTACCTAATAGAAGTAATAGAGACAGTACTCTTTCTTAAATTACCTAAAGTATCTCAAGTATTTTATTGAAATTAAGTACACATTAAATAGGTTATACAGTTTTGTAAAAAAAAATTTTTTGTTTCAGTAAACGAGGAGTCCGTCGGCGATGGTGATTCAGGGTGTGAAAGAGCAAAACTGGCTTTTAAGTGCGCTATTGAGAACAAACTTGAGGTGAGTAATGTAGTAACTACTGTGCAATTTCAATTTTTTTTAAAGTAAATATCATGTATGAATAAAATGAATTTTAAGCTATAGAGCTGATGTTAAAAAAATTAATAGACTATATCTATTTATTTCAATATATTTATCAGTATCACAGATTATTTTAAGAAGTTACTTTAGAATTCGAAAATTGTGATATAATTTAGAAGTTAAAACATAAAAATGCAAAAATTATTGTTATATGGATTATTATTATTGTTTCAGATCTTTTTTTAATACCATAGAACTTGCACCATTAGATCACTCATATAGAAGGCTATTATCCTAAGGAATAATTTCTTTACAATGATTAAAATGTTTTTAAATTAAAATATTTTGTTTAAAGGGTTTTTATTTATTACTTTTATATATTATGGTTCTCCCTTAAAAATTGAAAAACAGAGGCCAATAATGTTCTATAAGTATATTTATTAATTTCAATTAAATATTGTAAGTATATTTACTGACACAATTGTCCGCAACGCTGCTATCTGTACTCGTACATCAGAGTTTTTGTCGGTTACCCAGGGCTCCCTGCTAGATGCTCGAAGTACTTTTATTGAAATATTTGACATATTGCAAAAGAGTATTGTTTGAACTCATCTTTTAAGATTTTTGTCACTCTTTCCATTCCTTCCAAACATAGATCATATACAACTGAACTCATTCTCCTACTCTCTCATTTCCAATATTTCCTTAAAATTTATTCACAAGCAGTCGTGTTCGCTCTCTTTCAGTTTAGTTAAAATAAATAAATATATTTATTCAAACGATCTTATCGAAAACTAACTGACCATAAAAAAATAGAAACAAATAGAATTTGTATAAATATACATATGTATATACAAATATATATATATATATTTATACCTGATTTGTAAGGAGAGGCTTATGTCCAGCAGTGGACTATTAAAGGCTGTTAATGTGATGATGTCAGTATATTTAAAAAATAAAATACATTTTCATATCAATACACTATACTTTAAAAATTACAAATCGGTGTCCATTTTTCTTAAGAAAGGTTTTCGTATTCAGTCCGTTTTCACAATTTCTGTTTAGAATTGGAAAATCTGTAAAGTTAATACTTAAGTAAAGGCTGCAATAGTCCAATATTGTATTACGTTACATTTATTTCATACTGCTTTAACTCCTTTTAGTAACTATTTACATATCAGGTTTTGGAATATATTGAGTTCTACATACATACACTTACGCCCGTATACAGATCCACATTCAATTTGAATTGAGTTTGAATTTAGATTGTCATCCATATTCATGCCGTGGGTGTCGTACGAGTCGACTAAGGAAGCAGGACCACTGAGCAGCACGGCATAGAGAAGGAAAACTTGACACAAACCCTTTTTTTTTTTTTTTTTTTTTTTAACGTGTGGAAATCCCCTCGGACCGTCACCCCTCCGGGGTTTGCGGCGGGGTGGTGTGTCGGACTCGGACCGACTAAAACCACACGGTGTGCCACTCTGCGCCTGTAACAGGAGGGATCCGGGAACAGCTGTTGTTAAGACATCCGGACCCCTCCTAGCGCCAGCCCGCTCCTGGTGCGGGCTCCGTCTCAATATTTTTGTTTTCCTCTCTTTAGGCGACGTCCGGCACACGCGGACGCCGCCCCCTCGCGGCTGGCCAACTAATGCGGGTGGAGGGGAAACCCACCCCGTCCACCCGCGGCCACACTCAGGGCGGCATGAGGCTGTGGTAGGCGGGCCTCCGCCGCCCGGTTCGCCGGCGGCGGATCGGGTCCGAGTGGAGGTCGTCCTCCCGGGCCCTCTCCGCCGCCTCCTTCCGCGAGATTACTACCTCGCAGAAGGATGCGACCGCGGTAAAACAACTGTCGCTACCGGCCATGGAGCGTACTACGGCCGGTAGCGAGAGATCCACTCCGATGACTGCAGTGAGGGCCCGGCGCTGCGCCGCCCATGCGGGGCAGACCGCCAGCGTGTGCTGGGCCGAGTCCTCACTGCAGTCGCAGTGGTGGCAGGCGGGACTCAGTTCCCTCCTAGCGACCGTGTGCAGGTACTTTCCGAAGCAACCATGCCCGGAAAGCACCTGCGTCAGCCGGAAGGAAAGGGTCCCGTGCTGCCGCCCTGCCCACTCGGCGATGACCGGCTGGAGAGCCTCCACGGCGGCGAAGCCAGCGCGTGGAGTCTCCAGCCGGAACGACCAACGAGCCATCGTGGCTCGGCGAGCGGCTTCGCGCCACTCGCGCACATCCTCGGGCGGAGGGCGAAATCCGCTCTCCGCCCGGAAGTCAGCCACTCGCCGATAAACTTCGGCGAGCACTTCCGCCTCCAAATCCCACGGGGGAGTTCCGGCCAATGCGCACGCCACCTCCGTCGAAACGGTGCGGTAACCGCGTATGGCTCTGACCGCCATTACCCTCTGAGGGCGCCAGAGGCGTACCCTATTCTGGGCGATCAGAGCCGCCGCCCACACCGGTGCACCGTACAGCGCCATTGACCGGACAACCCCCGTGTACAGCCGTCTTGTCGCGACGCTGGGGAAGCAAGCCTATAAATTATAAGTAAATTGTAAGGTAAATTAGAAGTATATCAAAAGGAAAAAAGATTGAGAAGGGACGACAGTAGTAGGAAAGGTTTTAATATGTAATTAAAAACTTATCAATAGAAAATCATAAGACGATATCTAAATACCTTTATATCATTTTCCATCATACATTTGTAAAAAAGCACGGCCCGATCACAACCTTTTTCACCGTCGCTAACAGATTCGTTGTTTACTGGAATAAAAATAATAATATTTTCGGATATTAATACACAACGTCATCTAGTTTCAAACTAAGCCGAGCTTGTACTAGGAATGCTAGATTGTCTGAATACTTATATACTTTTTTCTTTTTGTACATGCATATTATACATAGAAAATACCCAAACTTCGGAAATCGAACCCGAAACCTTAGCACAGCAGTCGCATATGCTACCACTTTTTAGATTTGTTTAAAACCTTTATTTACAGTAGATCGAAGAAATCAACAGAAAATAAAATATTATACCATATGAGCAAGTTTCCAGATATCCGTCAAGTTTATTTAGTCCTTCAGGATCTTTAACTAATGGTTTAGCTTTTTCTGCGTCAATATTTGCACGGACCATGCCGGAGTCGTCCATCTAGAAATAAGAATATAGAATCAGGTCAAGATTAGCCTTGTAATGACATTATTAAAGTATGGGTCAAACTAATATAAAAGTTTTTCTTTAATAATAGGCGTGGTATGTGTATGTTTATTTCGGATTGTGATGCGCAAAAGGATTAAATGAAATTGCAGTTTATTGGTTTATGTGTTGATATATGTACTAACCACACCAAATTGTTTCATAACGCAGGCCATGTAACAAGGACTGTTTGCTCCGGTTGGTAGCGCAAGATCTTTGAGTTTATTGATATCGTCCTCGGTCAAGGCGTATTCTTTCATACAATTAGTTAAAATTTCAAAAAACTTAACTTCAGCGTCCTGTTCTGGCGTTGCCTGTGAAATTATTAAATGTATATATAGTATTTCCTAATGTTTTGTGAATTCCCATAAATATTTGAAAACCATATAAATTAATAATCCAAATTCCTTTTATTACATTTGCACTTATTCAAAGTTTGAACATCATGCACTTAGAATCAGAGAATGCAGCGGTAAAAAGGATGCCCAGCTCGGGTACTTCTATTACGGAAAATGGAAACAGAATTCTATTTCATTACATAAAAAAAAAACATTTTATTTTTAACTTACCAAAATGAAGCTTGAAAACATAGTGCAAAATAAAATGCCACACAAAAATATTAAGTTAAACATGACAGAATTAAGTATGTTATTGCTTTGAAAACTTATTCCTTCTGAAAATTCAGAGTTAATGTTCAAATTTTGAAAATTGCGAACTTATATATTATAATATTCGTAAAGTTGGATTTCAAAGAGGACTTACATAGGAAGCTACCACTATTATTACCTTTCACAACATAAAATTAGGAATATCAATCAGCATAAAATAAGTATATTTGAATGATAGTGACAAATGGCCAGCAAATTATGCTTTATTATAAACATGTTAGCGTGTCAATTTTTGCAGTGAAATTAAACTTATGGAATTACATACATCGCGTAGATTTAAATGTAATAAAAATGTAGAATGAAAAAAGAAGAAAACAACAACAACAACAAAAAACAACGTTATTTAAATAGAAAATGATTTACTTGATTTATTTCGAGCTTGTAAGACCTATAAACTTAGCCTCAATTACGTAACGGGGCAAGCCTATCGCCGGCACTTTATTAGGCCAATATAGAGTATTATAAAAGAAAAAAGCTTAAGAAGGGACGACGATGGTATTAAAGGTTTTAGTATTATATATATAGTTTAGAAAATCTTAAGGCGCTTACTAAATACCTTTATATCATTTCTCATCATACATTTGTAAAAAAGTACGGCCCTAGGCATAAGGGGTCTCGAAAAGCGCACATTGGTAAAGTGCCCATTATCCAAGTGAAAGAGATAAAAGTTTTGATAAAAAATCTCAAGTATTATGTGATATGGAAGAGAAAACCGCCAATATCGCAACTGCTAAATCAGTACGGTACTTTAGGTGTCATATATGAGAAGGTACTACGTACTTCGAGATAGGGGGGAAGGTCGTGTCACTTACTGACGATGGCATGACGGAGGACTGGGCATGGTTGTTTCGGCAAGATACTGAATCGAATCGGACACAAGTTGAATGAAGCCCCGCCCTGCATGGCCTCGCGTGGGCGTTTGAACGCGAGTTCCTGGTCGATATAATTGGACGAGCTCTGTACCCTCGAGCAATCGTTATTGTCCACTACAGCAATCGGGTGAAAAGGGCCGGGGTGCAGTGGTCTCTGTCTGTGAAGCTGTAATGCTATAAAAAGAGACCGCTGAACGGGTACGATATTGAATTGATTTACAGGGGAAGCTTGTATAGGGCCTGGTTAAGTGTGGGGTCAATTCGAGAGGGGGGAGCTGAAATCACAAGGTCCAGGTCCTCCTCAGACTCAGGCGCCTAAGGCTGGAAATCGGGGTGGTTTTTAGCAAACACCACCAGGAGCAGGCCAAAGGGCGGTGGCGCCCTAGACGAGCCTTGCTTCTCCTTGTGCATGCCATTACATGTGGCATGTGTTAGCCTTCACACCACCCGATCTCAAAGAAAAGCGTGTGCCATAGCCACGTCCGTCGTTCAGCAGATGCACCAACTATCAGTTTTGATTTGCGCCTCAAAAAATTGTATTCAATAAATACCCCAATTATCAAAATTCAGATACCAGTCTACCTGTCAACTATTTTTGTTTTTAACTAAGGATTTTTTTTGTGTTATCGTTGATTTCTTCAAATTTTGACCAAAAATGACACTTAAAAGACCTTAACCTAAAAAGTACCAAGTATAGTCTCCATAACGCCAAAACCTCCTTTCTGAGGAGAGGCCTATATCCAGCAGTGGACTATCATGGGCTATTGATGTGATGATTAAAAAAAAAACAAGTTGTATATTCATTGAACTTTTGAATTTATCCATATTTTTCCCTTTTCTGTTCACAAACGTCCCAGTTATGGCAGCCCTATGCTAACAACAATATCGCTGTACATTATGCACAAAATATCATTGTTAAAGGTGAAAAAATAGGAATAAAAAGTAGACCGTATTACTATTTTTTGTGATGTAGGCACTTTAAAGTTGGTGATATTTTTTAAAGAAAATTTTCATAAAATAAAAGTCAAAGTATATTTTAAAATAAACTTTATTATGTGAACATAAACAAATTAATAATAGTGATAATAGTACGAGTACTTATAGCATACTTAATCATCATTGAAATGATTTAGTGCAATTATTCCAACACACTCGATAAGGTCCGTTTCCAATTGAAATTTCGATTGAATTCTATAACAAAAGTTAGACATCCAGGCCGAACTGTAAGAAACAAAAACATTAAATATTATTATGAGAAAGGGAAAAAATCAGAATGTTCACCAATCTACATTCGCCGCTATCTTGTGCTTTTCAAATATCAGTAAAAGAAAAAGGCAGTTCCAACAAAAATTCAAGAACAATTCTATGTATAACGATGACAGTGGGCTTTTTAAACACTGTCAAATCCTCCCGATCCAAACACAATTTAAATACAATTGACTGAAAGAAAACTTTTTTACCAGTACATTTAACAAAGAAAAAACACACGGCGTATATACAACAGCAGCTGCTCAGAATCTTGTGTGCGAAACAAGTTGAGCGACAGCAAATAATATACATATATGGTGAAAGAACAACCGAATACTTAGTTCCCAGATTTATTAACAAACTACCCTCCGAATTGCGAGATATTCTGACGCCGGTGAAATTTAAATCTAAAGTGCGACCATTACTTTTTAATCAAAAATAATAATATCTATTTTGTTTCTTAATCTATCTGTTAGTTTTTTATTTATGAAATATTGTTTTATACTGTATTCAGAACCTTTTTATTTTATAATTACTTTTTTTGAAATTTTTGTACCGACCTAGACTAACCCTAGACTAACTAAAAGAAATGCTATGTATATTAAAATTAGCTCATTAATATGTTTACACTTTTTAACTTTTTGATTAGCTTTGTTAAGTAATTCTGAGTTGAGTGCACTTATGTGAATCCCTTAAATTATATTTAGCAAATCTAGATGACGAGGATATTCTATAAATTTTAAGAGAAGGACGTAATAAGCCAAAAGAACTGAAACTTAAAATACCTGGGGAGCATTTGTTATCATACACTTGTACGCAGACATAGCGCGCTCGCAACCCTTCTCACCGTCACTGACAGCCTCTTGATTAACTGTAAACAAAAACTTATTATCATGTGGATGTTCCCAAAGTGTACATTCAATTAAATTCAAAACTATTATACAATATTAACAGCAGAACTCAAAATAGTAAGTAAGAGGTCTCACCATACGAACAGGAGTGAAGATAGTCTTCAATATTTTTTATCTCTTCTGGTTCATCAAAGACGGATTTAGCCATTTCTAGTGCTGTTTCTTTTTGTAGAACGCCGCTATTGTCCATCTAAGTAGATTAAAAAAAATATTATGATTTTTTTCTCAAGTACAAGAAACAAAAATTGAGTGGTACACAAATTGGTTAAAGATATATTATACGTTATTATATATATGCAGTGAAACGTCCTAATGCGACGATTTCTGGCTTCACACTCAGTGTATAGAGGGCAAGGGCTATCTACCGTCTAAATACATACGTAAATATAAACGTACACTTTTATTTATTAATTAATTTATTTTTAATCGCTCAAACGAGCAGACATGTCACCTGATGAAAAATTCCTACCGCCGCCCATGAACGCCTGCAGTTCAGGAGTTACAAGCGCGTTGTAGGCCTTTTATAAAGGAGAATGCCCTTTTCTTGAAGGTTTGAAGTTCGTATTGGTCCGGAAAGACCGCAGACTACAACTTATACCACAGATAAGTTATGCTGGGCTAAAAGTGTCTTCAAAAGCACCCTGTGGTTAACTGCCTATTATCCAAGTGATGGCGATATACAGTTGCCGAGGGTATTAGTCCGAACAGTTCCTCCGAGCACTCTCCGTGATATATACGAGAGAGAATGCAGAGTAAATCTACATCTCTACGTAATTCGAAAGAAATCGAGCCGATCGGAGATCTTTTGGCTATCGACGATGAGAGTCGCTCATCGTTGGATGCGGTCCAGAGGGAGAAGCTGGTCTGGGGTGCCACTGCATAGAGATGAGAATAGATTTTTACATGCGGACGGACTTGCGCCATATAGAGTTGGAGGCGGTGGGCCGGAGTGAAATAATTAGACCTTACCCTCTAAGTGACCCCGAAACTAGACTTCGCTCAATATGTCGATGTCTAAGATTCCGATAGTGGCTAATTCAACTAGGGAGAGGCTCTTAAACCGAGGTGATATGACAACCCGTATTTTTTGGCGTTATAATGGACTTGATTTTGGACGTTTCAAGTTGGAAGTTTCAATTTTGGACACAAGTTTGTTTCGACTCTCAATAACGTTTAACCGAGAAATATTATACAAAGTACTATAAAACATACACTTTTATGACATATTCAATTCTCTGCTCAAAATTTAATTTACACTTTTAAACTATACTGCACAACTGGTGATAGAACAAATCTGTTGTTGAGTATTTTGTAGACAATGTACAGTGAAATTTACTTACCACGCCAATTTGCTTCATCATACATGCCAAGAAGCATGGAGCATTTGCCCCTGTAGGCACCTTACGAGTTCTGAGGCTGGCTATATCGTCTTCTGATATAACATTGTCTTTAATGCAGGTCTGGCCAATGGATTCAAAGTGGGCATGAATTTGAGCTTTTTGTTCAGGTGTCATAGCCTGGAATGATATGAAATAATATAATGTGGAGATTGAACAAATAGAAGGGATGAAAATATAAGACACCAATTTACACAAAATAATTGTCATATGAGGGCAAATAAGCCAACGGGTCATCTGATGGTAAATTACCTCTGCCGCCTATGCACACCTGCAACTCAAGAGTCACAAATGCTTTACCACCCCTTGGGGCTCCCCCCCCCCCCCCCAGATTCAGAGGGAGAGGAGGTTTGGGCTCCGGTAAGCTCACTTACTCGATGAATAGCAACGAAATGAAGCCATGTTATCGCTCCGGTCAAGCTGAACTTTTTCTATCGACGGTAAATTTTTCTATCAGCTTTTCAAGTTACTTACCAAAGTCAACAATGGTGTAAAAGCACAAAAGCATAGGCAAGACAAATACGCAAGCATTTTAAACATTTTGAAAATAAATAAAGATTTTTGTGAGATACGCGAAACCGGTGTTACGAGATGCAAATAGGTTTATGACGAAATTTCGGGAAATACGGAATTTATATGGTTGGTATTTTAATGAGATCGTAATGAAATGTTGTTAACACTATTATTATTACGTGAACCTTATGAGAACCTCGAATTAGCGATGTCATATTAAATTAATGAGTAGGTCTCGACGACGAAATCTCCAAATTACTATTGTGCACACTATCCTTATACAAGCATCTGGTAATACTACAAACTTATATTTAGATCCGTATGAACTGTTACTCAATGAAATAAAAATAAAAATTAGCTGTACTAAAGGATTGAAACGAGCATAAATCCTTAGGTCTCATTAACAGTTCGTTGAATATTTGAATCGAATTGGACGGGAGGTCACGGTACAATGCAACCATTGCGGGTCCGACCGGGACCGTATGCTCTGGTACCGTAAGGACGTTACGACGTTACGACCGAGTCGGTAGGCCGTCCCGGCTTCCTCAGCAGGACCACTTCCAGCGCTCAGGGAAGCGTCCGGACGCCAGGCTAGCGTCCAACACGTCCCTGAGGTGGTACGACATGTAGTCGAGGGCTCGGGCCATCACTCGGGCTGGAACCCCGTCCGGCCCGGGGGCAGTGTTCTTGGATCGAATAGCCGCCCCCAACTCCGATTCCCTGACGGGCGGAACATCAACCACGCTGCCCCCGTCGTCTCCGGCTGATGCAGCCATCGACGGGGGTGTATGCTCCGCCCGCTGCGTATAATAGGGTACCTAACCAAACCTCTAAATATTGAAGTTCTTTATAATATCGTCAGGATTGGACATAACAGTCTGGCAGGTGACTAAATAAACTTTATTTATAATAATAACGCGTACCACATGCAATATTATTAATTTATAGTACCTGTTATTTCTTTCCCAATAAGTATACTTATTAAGTAGGTATATCTTAAACGTAACTATTAAATTAATATTCCATCGGCCTGCTTTTACTTTTTAATATAGATCTCTAGTCGGCATAATTTCGGTCTAGTATATTTTGAACTGCCATTAAATAGACTTTTGTACCGTTACAAACCAAAATATGGACTGGACTATTTCAGTTTTAGGGAGCCATTTTGACATATTTTTAACTTTAAGCAATATGTCCTAAATTATTTAAAGGGGTTCAAAGAACACTTCACATATTCATACATGGAATTTTTAATGCCTACCTATTGTTTTTGTTATTTAAAATTACATTTTAAGATTCAGAAATATCGACATCATTTTGTTTTACTTTTTGTAACATACGGGATGTCATTATTTGTTAATATCACGCTTGGTTATTTGTCAATATGGTCATCTAGGGTAACACTAACAAGCATGTTATGAAATACGATAATTGCAAACATTGTCATTTGCCCCAAATTATGTACAAGCAATTACGAATTCTATCACCACTGTATAAGACTAAAACTAGTTTATTCATTTACTTTGTTAATAACGTAAAATGGATTACTAACTGGGGCTATGTGATGCTTTTGCCACTCTATAATGATTATTCACAATAGTTGTTTGCCTTATATAAAGGATAAATTATATCAATTCACACATTTGCTTTTCAAATTGACGAGTGTTCTAGTTTGTGGCCATGTTCAAATTATTTTTTAGCATTATAGTTTTATTTTTTTATTCATGTAACACTCAGGTGGGTATTAATATATTTTACATTTAGTTTTATAATTCATATATTTTAGTCTCATAAGATACAGGTTAATTAACCTAGTTTAGGAGACAGAGCACGTATCAAAAATTTAACTTTGATGGTTCAATTCTTTATCTTTCAGTGTGGTGACGGATTAAGAATACAGTGTGTGTCACCACCCCTATTCATCCCGTGGGTGCCGTAACGTAAGCCGACTAAGGGACAAACTCTGCAGAACAACAGTACTGCAAAAAGAAGGAAACTTAAAACAAACCCTATACCAACCCGTCTCCAAAACCTCCATTGTAAGGAGAGACCTATGTCCAGAAGTGGACTGTTAGGGGCTTTTGATGATTGATGATATTTTATTCAAAATACTAAATTAAATGCACCCGTGTAATGTTTAACGTAATGATAGCAAAATTGTAAAAAGGTTGTTGTATTTTTGCTTCAGAAAATTTGTTTATTTTTAGAATAAAATACCTATAATGGATGACCCACGGTAAAGTCAATTATATTATAATCTATCGTGGCTGTAAAGCTATTATTATCTAAGGTTAAATGATGTTCGAATACAACTTTATATTCAAACATTACATAATTGTCAAATTTTCTAATGGCATAAAAATTAAAGATCGTCATCTTTCATTTTTATACCATTAGATTATTTTTCTTTGTTAGTATTTCAATATAACGTATTCATCTGGTTCTCAGATTTACATTTTCTGTGATTGGTTAAAAATTTCATCATAAGTTTTTTAGGTATCAAATATAGAGGAATTGAAGCAAAAATATGTGGAGATGATATTAGAATGTTCTGGCGACTTTCCGATATCTGCTGTTGATTTGGACCTCTTGAAGAACAAGAAAATGCCTGACAACCAAGCTATTAAGTGTCTTTTCGCTTGCGTCTATAAAAAAGCCGGAATGGTAAGGACTAACTTATAATATTAATAGATGACTAACCTAAAGTAATTCGCAAATAATATATAGTACAAAAGTAATTTTAAAAAAAACAATGTCACATAATTTGAGAAATAAGAACTAACTCGAACTTATCAGCGCACGCACTGATTACGGTAAAAAAAACATATTAATTGAGGGAGCACAGCTGCTCAACATATTGCCAGCCGATATGAAAGAATGCGATAACATGAACACATTTAAAAAATAGCTTAAGAAATATGTGTACATGTAACTTCTAATACTCTAGGGGTAATTGCATTGTATTATTACTTTTAACTTTGTATCTCATTATAAATGGACTGAAAGTTTGTATGAGAAGTAAAATTCTTTAAAGCGAATTAATATACTCGTAAATACAAAAGTGATAATAATAAAACCTCACACATCAGTCGCCTGATCCCAAACTAGGCAAAGCCTATACTATGGTAAGCATACTGCTGATTAACAAACTTAAATATTTCTAAATACATACATATTATAGATAAATTACATACAGACAAGGAATAAATGATTATTTGTCCTGGATGGGAATCAAACCCACGTCCTCCGACTTAGCTGTCGGTATCGCTAACCAGTAGACCAACAAAGTGGCAATGATTATGGTATTTTTTTGCAAATGTAGAAATGAGAATCACCATAGTACCTACTCAGTAATATAAGTGCATAGACAACATTTCTGTTGTGAACTTAACTAATTCAAATGATGCTAGTCATTAACGGGTTTTCCCGAGGAACCCTACAAACAGACTCGGGATAATGATTGTCTTATTTGAATATTTACCTACCGATCATTAAAATGAATGAATTGTAAAGTAAAACCGATAGCTCTCATGATCAAAGATCATCTTTATAACTTTGGACCGACATAAATTTGTCCCAGAATACCTACACAATTATTTAGCATTGCAACGATGAATTCGATTGTAGAAAAAAACGCAAGGTCGCTAATGATACACACCAATTACACGCACCACGGTCACTGTACAATGCCTTTTGGTAGTCATTACAGCTAATGCTACTATTTGCCGGAAACTTATTTTTCTATGAATTTGATGATGGTACTCTACTCTGTAATTATGGATGCGAATGCGTTATTTTTATAAGTAATCCTTCTTTTTTAGACTGTGTCTATTAAATCCTTGTAATTAAAATTGACTTTGAAACATAATTAGCAACATTCGAACTTAATTTGAAGTCAGATACAAACATAGAATGATCTTCAAAATTTTAATTGTATTTATTAATTTTCTTTCATAGATCTAAATTAGTAAACTAGCATATTCTCTTGGGACCAGTACCTTCTTTTGAATAAAAAATACAATTTTTACACGCTTTATAAGCTTCACTTGTATGTTTGTTTGTATGTTTGTAACCGACTCCTTTGGGTGTGATTTTGACTGACTTTAAACGGTACGAATTCGTTCAAACTTTGTAGATATATCGAGGACCGATGACAATACACTAATTTAAAAAAAATATATAGTTTTAAAAAAACTAAAAAACACGCTTTCTATAGAAAACCAAACTAAAAAATAGAAAATAAATTTGAAAAAAAGCGTGGGGTGCTTTTTACTATTGACAACAGGCACCCAACGCTTTTTTTCAAATTTATTTTATACAATGTTTATGCAAAATTGTACGATCAGTTGAGCAGCTAAGCTGTGAAAGAGTAACCAATAAACAAACTCAAATATGACACAACAATCCACATAGCATCAGGAGTTATCTGACGTCTACTATGTCAATTATTATAACGCTTAATATACCTCGATATAATAAATCGACTAAAGCGCGCACAAGTCGAACTTTACTGTTATATTCTCTAAACTTTTTAACAGTTGACAGTAGTACTATTTTGTGTGTATCAATAGAAAAGTTACAAATAATAAAAATTTCAGATGAATGACAAAGGAGAACTTTGGATTGAAGGTGTAAATGAAATGACTCGCAAATACCTATCAAATGATCTTTTACGGATGAAGAAGAGCGAAGAATTCACAGCGGCGTGTAAAAGCGGTAAGGCTGCCAGACTTTTTACGGTGTAGCAACAACATAATGGGATAGAAAATGCTTCTATTTATCTGAATATACAATGTGCTTTGTGCTATAATTACTGTAAAAGATAACAACGAAATTTGTCGTTGCACATATTTAGTTAAAAGGTGCTTGCAACCCCTACAAAATCTAAATACAAGCAATTTTTTGTTTGACACAAAAATTAAATTTTACCTGCAATATTCTGTAAGGTAACAGTAATCATTATATAGGATATTTATCGAAGAAGGTTCTAGAGAAAGTAATATCACATTACGACTCGACGACATGGGTGGAAATGCGGGAAACAGCTATTGGGATTATAATTTTATAAACAGAATAATTATAATATTGTTGCAATATTTTTAGTGAACGATGTTCCTGTTAGTGATGGTATAAAGGGATGCGAAAGAGCTGCTTTGATCTTCAAATGTACGGTAGAAAAGGCTCCGGCGGTAAGTATCCCTAACAAGACATATATGTCAAGATATATATGTACCTAATATATGTACCTAATATATGTAATATATGTACCTAAAACAATAGCATGGAGCTTTTATGTTCGATTGTGTCTTGAGTTTTTATTTCATTTATTTATTTATCTTATGGAAAAGAAGGCAGACGAGCAGACGGGTCACCTAATGGAAAGTGACTACTAAACTACCTGAAAGTAATCGTGGGAGGACCATGTTCCGGCAGGTATGGGCCAGCTGGACTGGAGCACGGCCACGCAGAAAACCAATCCTTTTGTTGCTTTTCACCGAGTTAGTGTTGACATAAAACTTCATTTAAAGTTATTGTTGTATCAATAATGCTAAACTTCCATTTAAAAATCTCTAATGTTTTTACTACAAGTCTTCACAAATTGACGAAGATTAGCGCCTCCATACAAAAATCATCGCCTCCATACAAAAATCATCGCCTCACAGAAAGGCTCTGAGTGTTATGTTATCTTGCTGTGCTGTAATCACACCATTTCTTTATACTACTACTTAACCACGGAGCAAATACAAAGAGGAGAGGGTCTAAGCAACTGTGCTCTGTGATTCTTACTAGGACCTGACGTGATCACAGTGGGAGTATCTTAAAAGTAAAATATAAATATTTAAGACAAACCTTTTTCTTGTATTTTTTTTCAATGCGGAACTGTATATTATGAATTTAAATATGTTTTATAATTTTTAGTAACACTGTGATTTCTGTTACAGTTCGACTTCGTTTGAACACAACAAGGAACTCGCATAGAAGATACTTCAAGAAACATAGCTTTAAAGTTGTTGTACAAGTAGTATTTAGTCTTATTTAATCAGTAGAAAAGACGTAAACCGTCATGTACAAAATTAGGATACGAATAAAAAAGTCTTTAAAAATATACACATATATATTTTTTTACTAAACTGCATATATTTAAGCAAACAGTAGCCTCTGTTACATCAACGCAATTTTGTTATTCGCATTTCTTATTATATGTTCGCAAACTTTATGACATTTAAAACGGACAGAAAAATTACTCTTAATACTTGGTGGATTTTATTATTGTGTCACTAAAAATCATGCCTATATATGCAAGGCCTATCGTAGAATGCAAATCGTGTAGGTCAGCATATACGAAAATTAGTAAAGTTATTTTCGTAAATTACTTTAAACCAAATATAATAGTGACGTGTAATCAAATATAAAATTACTATGGTATGTATGATATAGTTATTATACTTTATTGTTGGTCATTTTTAATAGTTTTTCCGTAATTTTTATTTTTGTATTTATAGGGCGATACACAATGAAATAAATTATATGAAATTACGAACAGCACGAATCCTCTATTCGAAATGTGGAGTTGTTTATTCATTTTATTCGCCATATTTACCAGTGTTTATGTGAGTATGAGTATATCATGTAATCATATCGTATCATACATACATGTAATAAAATTAAATGTCTACCAAAAAATTGAAATATCGAGTGAATTTTCGAATCGAGTGAAGCAAAAAACAATAGTTTATAATACAAGAATACAATAAATATTACTGTGAGGTGATTTTCGAAAACTTTTCTTTCTTACCCTCGAAATAAGATTAACCTCAAAATTTTAAAATTTTATTACATTATTTAATTTTAGTTACAATTACCTATAATATTGTTACCCATACAATAAACCTACAATTTACGAGCATTCAACATCTCAACTCAGTCCTCCTCCTAAGTTCCATAATTTTTAAATTTATGGTTAAAAAGTAATTTTTTGAAGGAATACTCAAACACACACCTTTACGAGAACTAAGTAATCATTAATCCAAATTATTCTTCTTACAATTCTACTATCATTAACTAAGTAAAGCCCGTCTTTCTGATTGCATTAATATAGGTTTTGTTCACCATCTTCTTCCACCGAGCCTTTTTCCCAAACTAGGTTGGAGTCGGATTTTAGTTGGTGGTGGTGACACTCCGTATACTGATACCGTCACCACACGGACTATTTTAGTTTCATTGGAAAAAATATAAATTCTAGGTCTAAAACCATGAAGTAACTAAATAAAGAATGTACCACAGTGAATGTAATGAATGTGTTTAAAAATGTTAATAAATGCTGTTTATTTTACTTTATCAACAAAGGCAAAAACAGAAGAAGATATAAAGGCAGAATTGATTAAATTGATTATGAAGTGTAACGAAAATGGAGGTGTTGACGTAACGGAGTTGCTGCAATTACAACGCTTTATTACTCCTACTAAAATGAAAACAAAATGCTTACTTGCGTGTGCTTATAAAGCTTCGGGGGTTGTAAGTATAAAAATACATTAATATAATTTCGTTCTATTTGTGGCTTTTGATAGTCGAGGATGTAGTAGGTCAAAACCTCCTTTCTAAGGAAAGACCTATGTCCAGCAGTGGACTAGTATAGGCTGTTGATGATAGTCGAGGATGTGGTGGTAGATAATGGGTAGTATAATGCATCCTTAAGATCTGATAGGTACAAACGGAACAAGTCGCGACACCGTCTAAAGCCTGCTTCGGTCCCATATAGAGCCATGGACCTCACGATACCAACGTCTTTCATACAATCAAATTAATCAACAAATTTCATACTTTCAACCCCGGATCTACGAGTTTTCGACACGGGGCAAAACAACTGAGGTGAAAATATATTTCGATGGTTGGTTCAATTCAAACCAAATGTTTGTATGATCTGCAAATATTTGTTTCGGAGTTTGGGTGTTTTCTATGTATGATATATGTGTATTTACAAAAAAAAAGGATTGAAGTATTCCATCAGTCAATATAGCTCTCATAGTACTAGCTCAGTTTAGTTTGAAACTAGATGGTCAGATGTCTGAAATATTATTATTATTATTTTTCGTGATTATGATTTTCGTATTTTAAACCGTATATTATAACATTGGCGCCCCTGAAACTGCCGGGTGCCCTTGTTTGCCCCCTCCCCTCCTAGATCCGGGGCATCTGCATTCTTTAATGTCTAAAAATATTAATATCAATTTGATATGTAATTTAAAAAATGATTTTTATTTAAATTTGGTTTGCTAATAAAGTGTAGTGCTAAATATTTTTTGAAAATCAGTTGAAAATCAATTCTGGCGTTCGAAGATAATCAGTTTTTCTAAGGATTTTTGAGTCAGGGTTGTTTAATTTATACCTACTTGTTATAAAAAATCTAAAGTAGATTATATATTACATTTACAGATGACCAGTGATGGATTGTATAGTATCGAACATGCGTACAAGATGGCAGAAGAAGTAAAAAACGGTGACGAAAAACGACTAGAGAATGGAAAAAAAGTGGCTGATATTTGTTTTAAAGGTTAATGAAACTGTTTCTGACAAAAAACTACGTTACGCTCGTGCTATCTATCCACATTATTCTGTGAGGTCGAGGTCCCAGTCCAGCGGCTAAATTTCTAGTCACAATCTGCTCTAGCCTTTCATTACATCAAGTCACTTCAATTGCCTATTGAATCAGAGTTCGTTTGTATTCGTCATTTTTGGTTTAAATTGTTCCAAAGAAAAGCATGCGTACTTCTGTTATAGCTCTTTACGTTCTAAAAAGAAATGTACATATTTTTATTAACCAACTTAAAAAAAGGGGAAGTTTTCAATTTGGTTTATTTTTTTATGTTTGTTACCTCAGGACGCCGTCATTTATGAACCGACGTAAAAAATGTATTTTTATTAGCAATGGTATACCTACCTCCTGTTTGGTACCATTCTTTTATTTAAAAAAAAAGGCAGCTCCCGTGTCAGAAATATATCATGTGTCGCGGGGGACTTTACAAACATACATGAAACGGACACAAATAACACCCAGGCTCAGAACGACAATTTGTGGATCACACAAAGTGTCGTCGCATGTGGGGATCTAACCCACAATACTCAGCTTAGCAGGAAGCGGCGTGGCGACCGCTTAAACCACTACGCCATCTGTGCAGTCATATTCTAATTTAAAGAACAAATACTATCCCCGAAAAAGTTTAATTAATCAATGCTGTAAAGAAAGACGCATTGAATTCGGTGATACTGTTTTAAGAGTAAATTTTTCATTTTATTTTTACTCGTGTTTACATACATGGCGAATACATCTCTCACTTGCGATTTGCAGATGACATCGTCATCATGGCAGAGACGTTGCAGGACCTACAGCAAATGCTGAATGACTTAGCTGACACTTCTGTACGCATCGGCCTACGGATGAACTTGGATAAAACCAAGGTCATGTTCAACGAACATGTACTACCGGAACCGATTGCGGTACACGGTGCCGTTCTCGAAGTTGTTCAAAATTATGTGTACCTCGGGCAGACATTGCAGTTAGGTAGAAACAACTTCGAGGACGAGGTGAACAGAAGAATTCGGTTGGGTTGGGCAGCGTTTGGGAAGCTACGTCGAGTCTTCTCATCGTCGATCCCACAGTGCCTTAAGACGAAAGTCTTTAATGAGTGCGTCCTACCCGTCATGACATACGGAGCTGAAACGTGGACACTTACGGTACGGCTGGTCCACAAGTTCAAAGTCGCTCAACGTGCTATGGAAAGGGCTATGCTCGGCGTTTCTCTAAGGGATCGCATCAGAAATGAGGTGATCCGGCAGAGAACTAAGGTCACCGACATAGCGTACCGGATCAGCAAGTTGAAGTGGCAGTGGGCTGGCCATATTAGCCGCAGAACCGATAACCGTTGGGGAAAACGAGTTCTTGAGTGGAGACCGCGTCTCGGCAAACGTAGTGTAGGACGCCCACAGGCCAGGTGGAGTGACGATTTGCGCAAGATGGCTGGCAGGAGCTGGATGCGAGAAGCCCAAAATCGATCTAAGTGGCGTGCAATGGGAGAGGCCTATGTCCAGCAGTGGACTGCGATAGGCTGATGATGATGATGATGATGATGATGACTCGTGTTTTAGAGATGTATCTATATTTCGTTTCAATTCGTTTGTGGAATACTAATATTATCACTTTTTATTAGTTATGATAAAACTATTTTTGTTTTACAGTTAACCATGTCACGGTGACCGACGGTACTAAAGGCTGCGATAGGGCAGCCTTAATCTTCAAATGCACATTAGAAAATGCTCCCAAGGTCAGTTTAATTGATAGGAGTAGGTTAGATTTCTAGAGATACAAAAACTTACAATACCTGTGCTTAATTAACACCAGTTCATTACCCAATCTTGATGAACAGGGAAAGGGTTTGATGGTTTATTTGGTTGAACTTGCTAATCTCAGGAACTACTGGTTCGTATTGAACAGTTCTTTTAATGTTGGATAGGCCATTTATCGAGGAAGGCTATAGACTGCATAATATCACGCTATGACCAGTATTAGCATTAGTATCAATGAAAATTTTTCCCAAAAGAGGGAAAGGGAGAACGACAGATTCTGTACCCCTAGTAAGATATGATGGATGATAATGAAACTCGAACCGTTTATAAAGTGAATCATCCTTACTATTTTTGGGTAATTATCATATTTTTAGAACGTTGCTTTTTAGAAAAAAAACTGTATGTTTACATCGAGATCAATACCAAACGTATTTAGCAGTTAAAACAAACATTTCTTTATTAAAGTTGACTGTACAGATTAGAAGAAGCAATAAAGTAAAAATTATTTTAAATTCGGTTGTTTAAGAAAAGGTACTAATTACTTTTATTCAAATCGATTAGATAAATCGTGAACATTATGTAAAAAAGGTAATTAAACTGATTTGATGGGGGATAATTTTATTAACAAATCAAAGAAATCATAAACGTATGATTTTGAAAGATATCTATGTTAACTAGTTCACAGCAATGACAACTAATTTGTGACAGCCAGCTGTCATTGGTATCGACTTCAGTCACTTCAGTACAGCTTATAACTACGAACTAAAATACAAGTTCTAAGAATCTGGTAATTAAAACTGTTATTGTAGATGATATTACAAGCCAAATAAATACAAAAATAATCCCTACCATGAGATACGCAAGGCGATACTAAAGTCCCATACATGCCTGCCATTGTCCTTTATTCCTTTTGAAAAACGCAGTCGAATTTGCCTAGGTCAGCTAGTTTGTGACAAAAGTCAATGCCCTTTTTCTTAATTTTTAAATGAGTCTGTTATTGTTAAGTGAGGACATGAATTTATGATTGATTGTATGACATTAGTTCATTTGTACCCGAACAAATAAATATATTAGTTACTGTAATATTTTCAGTATCGTATTACAGATGAGCCGTGCTAAATTCGAAATTTTAGTTCTAAAATAGATAAGGGCTGAATATAATGTCAGCAAAATAATCTTAATTTTATCATGTATTAAAAAAATCTATATATACAGGATGTAAGGGACATCGTAAGGAATACTGAAATAGTCAGCCCATCATTCTAAGTCGAAAGTCATTGGAATTTTCTGCAAATTAAATCATTCGGAAAATTGAAATTTTATGCAATCAGCCATCAAAGGTTGAGGTCATTCCCAGTACGTATCACACAATTAATAACTACATGTGTATTCCGTGCAAACAGCCAATGCACACTAACAGAAGTTGGCGGCCGAGGGGGAGGCTCCGTGCGCTTCGGCAGTTTGATTAATTACAGTGTTTTAAATTGTTTTCGGTGAAATGTTCTGTCTCATTGTGATATCATTTTTCATCATCTAGGTCTAAGCTAAACCGAACTTGTTAGAACTATGACAAACATACTTAGATAGTTTTGTTAAACTTACATACGAATACATTTCGACATGCCTACGTATATACGTATACGGATCATTCGCAGGATTTACAGAGAGACACGAAAAAGGAGTTTATTTTAAACTACGTAAATGTGTAGAAATAATGTACTTATATTTTTTTGTTTCAGTTTGGATTCAAAATATAAAAGGGTTGGATGGTTTTGTAATGCTCCCTACTATATTTAATTAGTACCTTAAATTGTGTATTCCTATCGTATTATCTTTTAAAAATAGATTTTAAACAAAATGATTAAATTGTAATAAACCCAAAACAAGTGTTTTCTTTAAACCAACTTCTTTAAATCAAGTTAAATAAATGCATAATATTTTAAGTATAAGTAGTAGTAGTAAGTTTTTAGAGAGAATTATATATCTAATACATTTATTTTTAGCTATAGTAAAATCTACTGAGTAAAGTAAATTTTAGTACCTAACGCCTACGAAAGCATTCAAAGCAACATGTACATTGGTGTTATCACACATTCCCTTATTTTATTGATATCTATAAAATTACATAGTTCTTTAAAGTCAATTAAATGTTCAATATGATAGAAAGCTCCAAAAATTAGTTATTGATCGATCACTGAATTTGTTTGCTGGTTAATGATGATTAGTATTTTAATATCTTTTGTTAGCTATGTATCACTATGTACCTCCCAACAATTTTAACAGTAAATATTGCTCTTAAATCAACAAGTTCGGTAAAATTAGTGTTAGTAGAGTAGTTTTGTTTTTCAAGAATGGATCTGGCAAACTTCTTCACGCATTGATAGTTTTTGTTTTTTCTTTATTTTCTAAAGAATAAAAACTGGTATTTAGAGTTGGGATATTTCTTGGTAATTTTTCCCTTTTTAGGGTTCCGTACCTCTAAAGGGAAAAAAAGGAACACTTATAAGATCACTCTCTTGTCTGTCTGTCTGTCACTGTGTCACCACCGATTTTCTCATGAACGGGTGGACCCAGCAAGTTGAAACTTATACCAGATACAGTCCCTATTTGGTGTATAAAAATCAAATCCTGAATCAACACGATGAAAAGTATTGACAAATTTAGATTTTCGCGAAAACCTGGCAGTACCAACATTTACCTTAATTTTCAACTTTTTTTATTTTTCGGAATTTTCCCTTTATTTGTGCTGTAAGACCTTGCTTTTAACCGAAATTGACAATTCTAGGTCAACGGAAAGTACCCTTTAGGTTTTGCTTCGAAAACCTATGTGGTAGTTCCCGTTGAATCACGAAATTTGGCAAAATGTAAGGTCTTACAGCATAAATAAGGAAAAATTCGAAAAAATGAGTTCTTGACTGGTTTTTTTAGTTTAGCGTAGCATTGCGGAAGGAATATTTCCTCCTGTTTGGCGGTGCGGTAATATTCGGATAATATCAAAAAGCGGCTACAAGCCACCGGATGATCCTAAATCATACCGACCAATAGACACTCTAAAAGCTTTAATAACGATGGTAACACACATTGTTACCATCGTTAGGAAAGCTTATATATAGGGCGTCTTATAGTGCCCCGGCTTCTGCCAGGTGGAGTTAAATTTCATGATAGACAATTTTTATTTGGATGGTTGGAGAAATCGACAATTGATGCGGTTATATATGTTAGGAAAATTATCAGCGGATCAAAATTTCAATCCGTGTGATATATCGTGTAGATATATCCTGGCGCCTTAGATAACGCATGGCAGAACATGTTATTGATAAAATTAAAATCAAGGGGGTGGTTTCATCATCATCAAAAGCCTAAAATACTGCACTGCTTTACATAGGCCTCTCCTTAGAAAGGTGATTTTGGCCTACTATACCACGCTGGCCAGACGGGTTGGTGTACGGTTTGTTTCAAGTTTTCCTACTCTTTGCAGTGCTGTTGCTCTGCTTAGTTTGCTCCCTTAGTCGCCTCTTACGACACCCACGGGATGAATAGGGGTGGTAACACTCTGTATTCTTAATCCACACGGACAGATTTAACGGACGCGGGTACTTTAAAAATATTTATTACCTTATCTCTTCGTACTTTTCACAAAGTACAAGTAAACTAAGACAGGCATTATTCTGTGTCGAAGGCGCTTACAATGGGATGTTCTCAGGGATCACTTTAAACGCGTATGCTGATTACAGTTTTTTATTGGTGGAATCTGATACTGGTGCAGGGCTTGAGAAATTAGCTAATAGATGTTTGAACTTAAAATCTCATTGGGATGAAAGCACCTAATCACTTTACTTTTGCACCTAACAAAATCTTCCAGCTACTTTTAAAAGGTAAAATCCAATCGCCGCCACGCATATAATATAACAATGTTACTTTAAAAAATAAAACTTTGGTGTCTTATTTAGGAATAGTTTCAGCAAGAAACATTTCCTTTATCGAACATATTTGAATAATGAAAAGTCTAAAAAGAGTTGCTGTGCATTGACAAGGATATTAACTGCGACATGGGGTCTATAATTTCATACACATGCACCTGTATGGACCGATAGGGCAAAATATATTCATTTAAATTAGTCGAGTCACCATTGTGTCAAATCAACACCTGACTCTAACTGTGAACAGTCTCATCAGTCATCCTTTGGGAACGTAGTCCTCAGTATAATGAACGTAATATAATGCGGAATAGCTTGCAAATGACATCTAGGGCGGTATACTATGGGAATCTTGTGTCAACTGGTATGAATGTGCGTGCGTTTAAGCGATTCTGCCATACATGTTATAGAAATCAAATATAGCTCACTTAGCTTAGGAGGGAAGTAGATTTATTATATTTCCAATTCCTTCAATTTTCCTCTGATTCAAACTCAAACTCTTTTTACTTAATAAAATTTTCAAAATTGTCTTTTATGTAGACTCTAAAGTCATAGATCAATACACACAAAAGCAACAATCTCTGTTTTGTCAAATAGTAAGCAAATAAATTTAACAAAAATCAAACCCATACAAAATCTATGATATGCCTGTGCCGATCTACAACCGCCCGTTTCCAAGGGGTTGAGCCTTATGAGAAGAAAGGGCAAACAAACTCATGGCTATTCTTTTGCAATTCACAGATAGATACAATGCCACTATTAAATATACCACAACATTGTTTTGATGTGTGCTAGTATGTCCGTTATTAAGGACTAAAAGGTAAAAAGACAATTAGGAGAAAACAAGATTAAGAAAACAAAACTAATACAAAAGAAAATGAAGTGAAACATAAAAATTAAAAAATAATAATATTAAAATCATTTTTACTTAAGAAAGAAATAGCCTGCGCTAATTAATCCCAAGCATTCTTGTCTTCCATGTAATCCACAATTGAGTAGTAGGCCCTCTGGCACAAGCCACGTTTTATTGCGGACTTAAACTTGTTAATACCTAACTCTTGAATATTATTTGGGATTTTATTATAAAATCGGACACTTTGATCTCGAAAAGACTTGTTTATCTTTTGGAGCCTAGAGGCGGGTAAATTATAAAGTGCTCGAATCGATCTCTTTTGTAGTACAAAAATAGTTTGAATGTCGGCAGCATTCCCCCACAGCAGAATACCGTACGACATTATGCTATGAAAATAACTGAAGTAAACATATTTATCAATATGTGGGCCCAAATATATCAAAAATAGTGTCCACAAGGTCCAGCCCGACATCCGGAAGTGTCCGTTTTAGTCTAAATGATAATGATGTATCATCTGCAAACAACACAATCTCGAAATTGTCCTTGACAAGGTGAGGTAAGTCGTTAATATATACTAAAAACAAAAAGTGGCCGAGAATAGAACCCTGTGGAACGCCCATTTCTACCACAGAGCCTGGAGACCGCTCACCATTAATATCAACTTTTTGAATCCTATTACATAGATATGAAGCAAGAAGTTCCATTTCTTTATTTTTGGTACCATAGTGCTGTAACTTCCTGATCAGCGTTTCATGAACAACACAATCAAAAGCCTTGGATAAATCGCAAAAAATACCTAGAGAATCGTGGGCATCCTCCCAGGCATCAAATATATGTTTTACTAGCTTAACACTGGCATCAGTTGTGGAGCGACCCCTTGTAAAACCAAATCGTCTATTGTGTAATAAAATATTATTATTAAAAAAACTTTGCAATTGATCATACGTAATTTTTTCAAAATTTTTGCTAAATACTGGTATTACTGAGATAGGTCTAAAGTTAGTTGGGTCAGATGTGCTACCAGATTTGAATGAGGGAATAATTTTACTAGACTTCATAAGATCAGGAAATACACCACTATTAACACATTGATTGTAAATGACAATTGATTAGCCACAAGAGATATAATTGTCTTAGTAATTAATACAGAATTTCCCCATAGGTCGGTTGTTTTTTTAACATTAATAGTGTTAAAGGCTTTAATAATTTCAAAGGGGGACACATATTGGAACTTAAATTCACTATCAATACTACTAACATTCTCTTTTAAAATTGATTCTGCAAGGCATGGTGAGGAGTTTAAAGATTTAGTAGTTGATACAGGAATGTTAGTAAAAAAAATCTCAACTGCAGCAGCAACCTCAGCATTTTTTGTGGGGCACTGCTGTTAATCCTGGTGTACAGCAGTTACAGTGGTGGGTGTGTGGGAGGGATTAGATGGTGTCAATAGTCTTCGTTCGTCTGCGTGTCACTTACCTCATCTCACTAAGTCGTTCGTTAAACGATTTTGAGCTTGTCGGTCAAGACCGTCTAGAGAGAGCAGATTATTTTTAGATCCATAATATGTATCTATACTGGTAACACATAATGGTCGAAAACCTTCATTTTCAAGTTGTCGTTGCTGCTGAAAAATGTTGGCTAGGAAAATACAATGCATAATACTAGCTTAGTAATAAAACATACTTCTTTTGTTTGATCAATATAAATAGTTTATTCTGTTACGGTTTATTGTAATGCGCACCAGTATTACAATTATTTTTCGCAACTAACATAATGGAGTAATAAAGTGCAGAGAAAGAGAAAAGAAAGATAACTCTACCTTTCCCTCCCTACTCCTCCTTACCTCTTATGTTCCGTGTTACATTACTATAAGTAACTTAATAGTTCTGTTTGTGATTTTATATAATTAATTATGTTTTTGTTTAACTTAATTTTATGTATTATTTGACATAATATGTTTTTGGCGGTCAGTATATATTCACCGTCACTTATTCTAAATAATATGTACATACTTTATAAATGTTAAGTTGGTTTATGTAACTCAACCTCAGAAACTCAAAAAGCTCTGCACCAATTGTGCTCTAATTTTGACACCTGTCCAAATAGCTTCAAACATTTTTTTATATTTTTTTTTGTTTTTAGTTTAATGCAAAAACAGTGTGCCACAGCGATACGTGACGGGGAACAACTAGTTTTATATAAAGTAGAAAGTAAAGATATTTTCATTTATTTTTAATATCCTGGTTGTGGGTGTTCAATAGTCGAAATGAAAAAGCAGTAATAATAAAAATATAAAAATATATAATGTAAATTTAATGATAGGCCTGATGTCAAATATCAGTATCATCGTTATTCAGAATTTAAAGCGATATCATCATGTCACAAGATAGGATCTTGTGATCAGTCGAACGTAAACACACAGTACAATTATTTATTTAAAATATTAATTACCATTTTTTAAATTTTTGTGGAATATTAACCTATTTTATTTTGATTACACCTATAGTAAAATTTTATTATTTTTTCAAAACGGAAACCAACACAATTCATATGGATACTCGTTTAAAGATTATATCGATAATAAACCATCCAAAAATGACTTATTATGACGATTAATATAAATTAAGTTAACAATTTTAGGAAACTATTTTTTTATAGTGAACGGATGTAGGCCATTCCCATTAATGAATTCGTTGTGACTCCACACTATAAATAAGGAGTTTAAAAGTAACATCACAATGTATTTGCAATTTAGACCCAGAGTTGGCAATAGTATAATAATATTGATTAACTAATTGTGTTTGAAGTTAAGTGTAACAAATATGTGGAATTTAATAGTACTTCTATCAGTTATGTACAGCTGTTACGTTAGTATTGATAATTTTCTATTATTTCGCCTTTGAGCCAAAAATAAACCTTTTTTTTCTGAACCATTTTGACCGTAGTGATATCAGGATCTCACAAAAAACGGTATTGAGCAATACTTTTGTTGCTTTTGACGGAGTGAGAGAGTTAATCAAAGGGTCAGAACCCTGGGGCCGCGGGGGGCACTGGGGGTCTGGGGTGATGGCACTATCTCTTGGATGCAGGTTTCCTTGGGCCGCGGGTGTCACTTACCATCAGGTAACCCTGAATTCCCCCGGAACTCGTTTTACCTATATACCATAAAATAATCTATTAAAATTTAAATTGCGTAAGAGTGCACGGATAGCGTAGTAGAGTGTTGTGGGTCCGATCCCCACATGGGACTTCACTTTGTGTGATCCACAAATTGTTGTTCTGAATCTGAGTGTTCTTTGTGTCCGTTTCATGTATTTTTGTAAAGTCCCTTGCGACACATGAAATGTTCCTAGTGGTTAGTTGGAGTTGTTTTAAAAAAAAATTAGCTTAGCAAATTTTTACCGGTTTGTTTTTAGGCACTTACGGAAGAAGATGTAAAGACGGAATTAACGAAATTAGTGATGAAGTGCAACAGCAATTTAGAGGTGGATATGGCGGAGTTGAAGCAGCTACAAGAATTCGTTGTTCCTACCAAGACTGCAACAAAATGTCTATTGGCATGTGCTTACAAGGAGGCTCAGATAGTTAGTATAAAAAAATCTATTATTTCCTGATTATGTGAAATAGACATTATACAAGTTTCTTTTGTTAGTAAGGATTAAGTCTTGCTAGAAAAAAAAAAACATTCGATATTGTTATTTATATTCATTCATTTATTTAAAAAACCCTTTTAAAAAAAAAGTTGAACCGACTTCAAAAAACACCGACAAAGAGCACTAAAAATTAAAAAATAATTACAAATCTAAGTAAAAAACTATAATAAGTACCCTCAATGTAACAGGTAACATTACAATACCAATAGTCCCTTCTAGTCGGTTTAAAGTCGGTGCCAAGCCAAATAGGTGCTTGATAGAATGTAGCGCGGCAGCTGCAACAGTCTTCATGCTGCGCAAAACATGTTGAACGAGCTAAAGTGGACGCACATCTCCAATTATATTATTATTTTGAATGCTTTAATAAGGAGTTGATACGTTTGCGCACGTAATTGATCTGGTTGGTCTTTATTAATTAACAAAATCTTCGATGTTTCATTAGAATTATTTTGAATTCTTAATTTTTCATTGTGCTAATATAAAGCTGACATAGACCAGTATTACTTATTGTGCATCGAGCTTGGCACCGACTTCAAACAGACTAGAAGGGACTATTGGTATTGTAATGTTACCTGTTACATTGAGGGTACTTATTATAGTTTTTTACTTAGATTTGTAATTATTTTTTAATTTTTAGTGCTCTTTGTCGGTGTTTTCTGAAGTCGGTTCAACTTTTTTTTTAAAAGGGTTTATTTTACCATTTTTAGTGTAGAATATGTTTGTAATGAGTAGATAAGTACGATATTTAAAACACTACGTACCGTAATGTATAGTAACAAACTGTAGTTTGTTAGATTATATTAAATATTATATTAAATTACTGCTGGACATACGCCTCTCCTACATTGGCGTCCAAACTGATCAAGATCAGCTTAAATTCTTTTCTAAGAAACAGTCAAATTCTTGTGAGTTGCAACCGAACAAAATAACTTCCGATTCAATTGACACTGACCTCGAAGGTGAAGATAGGGAAGCTTTAGTGAGACTACTCAACAAATATGCTCAATATTTTATAGAAGGAGTTCCAACTAGAAGGGTTAATACTGGTATGTTAGAAATTAACCTAGTTGACTCACAAAAAATTTAAGAGTTTTTTCCAGAACTATTTTAATAAATTAAGTATAAAATTACTTACAAACGAAATGCGATGCCATCCATAGCAACAAAACGTCTATCCGAATTATTTTAACAAGATAAAATACAAAATTTCAACCTTTTCTTCTTATTAATACAACGAAAATTACTGTGGTGACATAAATACTGTAAGTTCTCTGCGCATCACATCGCGCAGTCTCTGACGGTTGCCATGGTTTTAAAGAAATACTCGTAGCTAAAACACGTTATCGGGGCTGTCAAATTCCCAATAATTGTGAGGGTTTCCCTCGATTTCTCTAGGATCCCATCATCAGATCCTGAATTGGTGGTAATGGGACCAATTCGGGAGCATACCCTTACGATTACAAAAAGAATTTTGAAAATCGGTCCACAATTGACGGAGAAATCGCGTAACAAACATACATTAAAAAAAAAAAATACAGACGAATTGAGAACCTCCTCTTTTGTGTTTTAGAAGTCGGTTAAAAAGAAAACATACTGTCGTATCAAAAACCCTCCTTTTTTGATGTTGGTTAAAAATCGACTAGCATGAAGCTCGAGACGAATCAAATGAGCACAAACACGGCGGAATTGCTTTATTTTATTACAGAGTTCCCATGGCTATTTACCGTCTCCATCATCAGACCCTGAATATCACATAGGATCGGAGTCCTTATTAATTAGACTCAAACACATTCAAATTCGATGGTATTACATAATTTTGTTACAGAGATCCCATACTCCTAAACCATTCATCATCAGCTTCATCATCAGCTCAGCAACATCAGATGGTGACCATTAGATGCAAAAATCTTCATAGATTAAGATAATTTCTGATAAACAGTGTATATGCCTACAAAATTTGAGGGTTTCCCTCGATTTCCGCAGGATTCCATCATCAGATCCTGACCTGGTGACAATTGGACCACCTCTGACGTATGACCTACCAAATAAAAAAAGAATTATTCAAATCGGTTTATAATTGCCGGAGTAATCGTGTAACAAATATACAAAAAAAAAAAAAAAGAAAATACAGTCGAATTGAGAACCTCCTCCTTTTTTTGAAGTCGGTTAAAAATACATTAAAGATAAACGGCATTCACGTACAGGTTGTTGAAACCGTATATTTTTGTAAAAGGTATTTTTAATTAAAACTATTGCTAATTTGAAATATGTATTTGTTTTTCGCAGATGACAAAAGATGGTTTGTACAATCTTGAGCACGCGTACAAAGTAGCTGAAAAACTAAAGAATGGAGACGAACAGCGACTGACTAATGGAAAGAAAATGGCTGATATCTGTGTCAAAGGTACTCCAAATATTTATAAGTAACTAGTTCTTGCAGATTTGCGTTTTGAGTAAAAGTTATTATTGCTGGGACTTTTTTCACAATAGTTAGATGGATGGATGTGGACTGCCCAAGCCCTTGATTAACGCTCCTTGGGGAGGTCCCTCCTTCAGCAGTGGACACATATCTAATGTCTTTTGCTGTTATGCGAGCGGCATGTGTCATGACTATCATGAGGGAATCCGTAGAGGACAACGTAGACAATACGATTTTTTAGTTACAGTCTCACTGAGTGGCCAAGCTAGTTTATTAAAATTTATTTTTTTTAATTTATAAACAAAATATGTAAATGTTATTTTCAGTAAATGATGAACAGGTGTCAGATGGCGAAAAAGGTTGTGATAGGGCCGCATTAATTTTCAAATGCACCGTTGACAACGCTCGGAAGGTCAGTAATATTCGTATTGATGTAGATCTCTAATTTTACTCATTTTTAGTAAATAGTTAAGAAAATATATTTAATACTGAAACCCATTTATTGTATCAGTCGATGTCACAATATTTGTGTTGACAAATATTAAGGTAATATACCAATCAGCAAAGCAACAGTCCAGCTCAAGAGTATACAGTTCCAGGTTTCTCTTTTTTGTCTCTCTGTTTTAATATGTCATCACCATTTTATTTGACGATAGCTTTTAAATAGTACCTACTCATTTTGATTTCTTAATATCAGAAAACTATTAAGCCCGTTTCTAAGTTACTGGCTACTTAAATTTAGTACCTATTAGGCATTTAAGCTTTAATAAATTTTTATTTTTGTTTCAGTTTGGATTCAAGTTGTAAATAAATCAAAAACTGTTTTGTGATGCTCCACATTTGAATATTATAATATCAACCGCAAAGTAAATAATTCACATTATGATCGTGTTGTTTTTATTTCATAAATCATTTAATACCACAGTACTGCGTAGGTAGTTTACAGGTACACAGCTAGTAGAGTAGGCTATCAATGGCTTAGCTGATGATTATGATGAACTGATTTTATTAATTTCTTAGTTTTGTTTAAATAATAATATATTGATTAAAATTTTCATTCTATTTTGAGTTGATTCTTTAGTTTGCAGGGTCAAAATATTATTTTTTTAATAGCGCCATCTAGTAAGGCTCATAAGGACTTTTACAACAGTAAGTTCGGTAAAAAGAGAAAGGCGCACTAACAAGCTAACGTACTAGCCATATTACAATTAAAATTCGTTAAGAAACCACAAGAGGGCAGTGTACGGAGATAACAGTAGCAAATTGCAAAAATATTTTAAGGTTTATTTAGTAAAAGTCAATCGTGATATCAGGAGGAAAATATTTTTTAAAATAAATTAAATATAGTTTGACTTTTATATACGTAGCTCTAATTTTAATGTTATCGATAAAACCATACAAAGACCATTCAGACACGATTGTATATGAAGGTGTTTGTATAGGTGGGTAACCTACATCGTTTTTAATGATGTGTTATTTTATAAAATGTTTATCGATCGGTAGTAATAAGATGCCCATAGTCATAATGCCTACCTAGTTAGGGCGGTCCTGCTCGTACACACCAGGCTTATAGTGTCTGTCTCAGCATGACTCACACATGGGCATTTTTGAAGCGAGTTTTTCAACACCCCTTGCGCTCGCTACGAACAAATACTGTCAAGATGCGTGTGCGCACACACAGCCAGATGTAAGCAGGCAACTTCATTCAAAACTATCTCGACCGAACATCGTCGCTCGAACTTCACTCGTTTCGTAAGCCAAACACCGTATGATCGGCTCTTTGATGACGTTTAACCAAACAATTGTCGGTTTATATTTTGCTTTGTCAATATTTTTGTTTTTATAGTGTATTGAGCAAAACACTGTGCATGTGATAAGTGTCCTGTGTAAGTGTTAACAACTTCGCATTATAATGTTGTAAATCGAAATGGTTATAAAATAAAAATCAATAAGTTCATTCAAACGTGGTTTTTCAAGAATTTTATCTGTTTATACGTGTTACGTTTGCGTGTTTAGTGTTTATTAAATAAAATAGGAACCTGTCTCATTTGGAAAACTATTTAGTTGGTAAGTACAATCAGACTTATATCAGTTTTACTTAAAAATGTTTTCGGTATGATTCTTGTAAATAAATTAAACAATATCACTATTCAACTTCTTTACAGTTACACAAATTATTTAATTGTTTCAAGTTTCTACATTTATTAATTATGACCGAATTTAGGTGATCTTAACTTAATGGGAATAAACCTATCATCTTCATAGCTCTTGTCGTACCGCCTTGGAGACTTGGTTGATTGATCAATATAGGATTTCGTTGAAGAAAGCAGTCCTTTAACTTTTGTTTTATCTTTGACATTATTTATTGATATAATTCTTCTTTTAAACTTTTCACTTGATCCTTTTCCTGTAGCTATATTATCAGTTTTTGTCCTTAATCTTTTCAAATTATCGTATTTTTGCTTCTCAATTATAGAATTGGTCTGGTTCTTTTCTTTAAATTTTTGTAATGAGTTTATAACATAGTCAGGTCCAGTGATTTCTTCTGTATCTCTCTTTCGACGTTTACCAGAAACTACACCAAGTTGTAGAAGAACGGGGTTACTTACTGCTAGGGCAGCCGCGCCCAATAAAGCGATACCGGCCAAAGGCCAAAGTGCTGCTTTCGCCGCTAATACCTAAAACATCAAATTCCGATTAGAAAGACCATCTTATTAAGTGGATAATTTGATTAAAGTTTATAAAAAAAGTTTTTTAGTATCCAGGAAAAAATATATATAAGTAACATTCAAAATTAATAAACTGATTCTAAGAGAATGACGTATACGAACTAAAAATACCAATTTAAAACAATTATATATCCATAACAAATATGTGTCCAGGATATGGTTGATAAAATACTTCTAGAATGGATGCACCTCTTGAAATGCATGATATTAATACCAGCTACCTACTTTATTAAATGCCTCAGGAGTTCACACAAGTTTTGTAAAATTAACGGATACATTATCAAGAATTTTATATTCTGTTACTTAGCATCTCAGTAACACACTTAAAATGGTTTTAGAGAAAAGAAGGAAACCAGGAAGAAAAAGTAACCGAAGTCTAGTCGATATTAATGATAGTGTTATTTGTACTTAAATGCACAACAGATATGTTACACTGTAAGGATGTTAAATTTTTGTTCATGTTCAAGAATATCTATTAACGTAAATTATTATTCACACATAATCTGCGTGGGATAAGTAGGTAAATACATGGAGAGTAATTGATAACGTTATCTATCGCAAAGATTATAACCCTTAAAGCCACAAAATCATTAAATGATAATCGAGCATTATTGTCCATATCCAAGCTTATACAAAAGATAAATTTACTGTAGCTACGAGTATTATGACGTACTGCTTATTTTAATTTGCTAAGACAAGCATTTGATGACTCTGACCTGCTTGTTAACTTCCAATTTGTACTGCACATTAACCACACTACATCGCGAGTAACTAAGCGAGAAGACAAAAGAATTAGATGTCTAAGAAAGCACAAGAAACAAGTGAGTTCTGCAATCAGGTACTCTATTAGAAGAACATCCAGATCTTAAATAAGTCATGTTACATAAAGCAGTAGTGTGCCTCAGATCACGTTTTTAATTCTGCTTAATAATCGGACATCACGAATATTGGTATGCATTATATTATCGAAGTTTGTCATCCATTTCGTAGGTATGACACCTACAAAAATTGACACTGAAAAGATAGTGTCTTTAAAGTTCAATAAACTTTGCCTGGAGGTTGAAGTTTCCATACCATAGTTCATTAAATTTTTAAATGTGTTCATTGGCATATTTAGAGGCATTTATATCAGTAGCAGTGTGAGTTTAAAAGTCTATTATATAGACTTACTGTACTATAACAGGTCAATATATATAAAAATAATCTAACGATCCACACTTTTGTACATATACATAATTATAAAGTTTCTTGAGTTTAAACGGGACGTTACTTCTTCCACGAAATTTTGCTGGAAAAGGGGGTAAAATTAGTAGGTAGTAACTTAACGTATTAATCGGAGATACTAACATGTTTTTCATATTTATAATGCCCGTGGTCATAATTGTGATGGCCTGGATAGTGATGCTGTTCATAGTCATGATGCTCGTAGACATGTGGACTATGGGGCTTCTGATGATGCTCTTGGAACTGGTAGTCGTGTCCATATGAATAATGCGAACCTTCTTCATAATCGTTCAGACCGTAACCTGGAAAGTCAATGTATTTATATTGGCCAAAAATATCATATACCTATTAGGTCTACCAACTTTCTTGTTAACGAACGTCCAATATAAGCAAATAATAGATTTTTGCTTAGATTTCAATAAGTACGCAATACAACTGAATCTGAGCGCACTTTTGCATTTGACCACCCAATTTTTTAGAAAGATTAGACTTAGGTTTTTTGACATCAGACTAAGACCATTTCAAGCCAAGCAGTGACCAATTGCTTAAGTCAAGTTATAAACGTAGTCAAACGTTTCCTTTCTACTATTAAGTTTATTTTCTAATATATTAAGATCGCAATTTATACAGGTAACATTGTGTGCAGGTAGGTATCACCAAAGCTGGTTTAAGGCTATAAATTGAAATTGCCGAGATCTTTACAATGTCTGCAATTATTAAGTACAAGGCTCGGTGACACTGTGTTACCGTCATGGTAGAAAAGCTGGGCAGTCGTTTATCAGTGTAGTATGCAGTTATAATGCAATACTACGTAGGTATTATCTTGTCGCATAATCTTCCAAGTAATTATACAGATAAGGAACAAAATTGTATCACAGTAAAAGTTAAGCAATGCATAAGAGTAACGTCTAATTTTCAAAATGAAACAACTAATATATAAAATTACCAGTCTTTTGACGCAGTTCCACTTGTATTTGTGGACACTGTTTCACACCTAAGAATCGTGAAATTAATATATACTAGGTATAGCTTCCTCAATATCAAACAAAATTAATAAAATCTGAGAGATAGTTCTACAGATTAGTTTTTAACAATTAAGATTTTTAACAAATAAGTAAAATAAAGTTTACTGAATTATTATAGATCACAGTAACTTTGTCTTTGCATTGGTTATAGGTAAAATAATCGTACAATACGAAACTACTCGTATTCTTTAGAACAGAAAGGATTTGAGCTTGATTTGTGATCTACTATTATCTAAGGTATTCCTTAATAAACAAAAGTTCCACTCTTTATACGCATAAACACCAGAACCTCTGTCTCTGTTCTCCCAAGAAAGCAGTTTCAATAATAACTCTCAACTCTAACCTTGATGTTCGTTGTACAGCAAACCTCGACTGTGGCTGTCGCTTGTTCCTGAGTGGGTATTGTCGGGGACTTCCTGCAAAAATGAATGATTCATAACCTTTTCTTAAAACATGCTTGATCTCTCTTATTTAGTTAGTTAGCATTAGCACCTGACACAAGGTCAGTGTTAAAGGTGACGAATTGAGGTTGAGAAACTGTCAACTAAAAAACTGCATGCAATGCATTTTTTCAACAGTGTAGTGGCTTTTCTTCATTAGAATTTTTTAATAAACAGTATATGTTGAAAAACATGAACAAAAATAAATATTCAGTGCGCGCCAACATAGAATACGTGCAACTTAACACGTCCCTAACCGATTTTCTATAGATTGATAGTTCTCGCGATGTCCTATGGTTGTGTTTTCATAATTATAGCGTACAAAGGAAATCCTTTACACGAATGCTCGCGTGTGCAACTACTTAGGGAACAGATAGAGCAGTCAGGTAACAACTGTTTGGGTATACAAGAAGTTTAAGAAGGTGCACTGTCGTAGATCTATGTACATTGTTTAAATAATTCTTCTTCATCTACTTTAAGTTAAATTAAAAAAAATGTAAGCAAATGAAACTGTTTTAAAAATAAAAAGTGAAAATATTTGCAAGTCGAAAAAAATAATAGTATTAGGTTAAGTACACATGTTTCACAGCATTTCACACCTACAAACTGAAAAAGTTAAAATGTTAGTGGCTCGATCTTTTGTTAAAACTCTGTCAAGAATTTTAGACTTAAACGTTGCCTTCGTTTCGCTTTCAGAATGTAACGTAAATGAATAAGAATCTTCCGTATTTTAGGATTAACCATAATGAGAAAGTGGCATCAATGTCATCCATACCGTTAAACAATCACGACCTTGTTGATTCGATTCTAACAAATATGTTGGGCGATAACCTGACTTCTAGGAATGGATAAGATTTAATAAACATAGGGAATGTACCTTTTAACACGAAGATATAAGTTATTTAGTCATTAAAGACTAGAAACACGTAGATTTTACTGAACTTTAATTTAAAATTGCTATTAATTACTTTCAATTGAGACTCATCTGGGGGAAGTGCTGCTAACGGTCAATTTTCATTAAAAGAGAAAAGGTGATATTCTATTTAGAAAGATAAAATAATAAAATTAAATTAGTGGAGACATGCTCCGATGGTTCGATACGACGGACACTTCGGTCTGAACATTTCTACAGCCCTTTTTCACATGACATTTAATGTTTCGCCTGGAATTGATGGCGTAGTGTATTACGTACTTACTTCTTACTTTAAAGCTTCTACAAAGTTTTGTTAAAGGCTAACTATTTTGTTAAAATACGTGTTACATGTATATAAAATATAATGAAAGCACATAGATTAGGTTGAAGTAAAGAACGGAACGTTGCAGCCAAAATACTTTCTATTCAAACAATTTTAAATAAACTGATAGAATTTTAGTTAACAAAGTTTATAAAGAGTTTACAATTTTGACTATATCCATAATCTAGATAGTTTGTATGTGAACTATTAACAACATCTCCAAGTCAAATATAATATAATATAATCGATATCCTTGTACCCGTTAATACAAAGTTTTAGTATAAAAGAACTCGTTATTTTTTTTATATTGGTATCTAATGAAATATCCAGCATTATCTTAAGTAATACAAAAGGGGCCTTATTCATAGCTTTGTAAATAGTTATAAAGTACTCATCCTTATCAGAACCGCTTTAATAAAAATAAGGAGTGCATTTTTTTTAGATTCGACGATGAATAACACCAAGTGTGAGTCACGTATTTTACTTTTTTCCTCTCATCTGTATTGAGGTTTGAAATATTATTCATTATTACGAGGAAATGATCTGATATCTGACTAACTGTTGCGTTGAGGTCGAGACCGTCACGGGAAAAAACTCTTAGCTATGCATCTTTAAATCCCTATTTCAATGGACTCTCTCATACGCTTATGATGCGTCTGCTATTGGTGTAACGAACTTTTAATGGTATGTTAGCGATGCTACTCTACAATATTCCGAGTAAAAGTTTTATTTACAACCAACTACTTTTCTACCTTTGTATTTATAATAAAACATGTTTTTTTACCTTAGTAAATGGTGAATTTAGTTAACTTTAATCTATATGAATGTACTATATAGTAATGTTAAAAACAACTCCTATTCATTGTAAACAAGTTAAGTTATTAAATTTAACAAAAATATGTGTATAGATATCTTAATATATCACGGATTTTTCTTTTATATGATATCTGTTCCACACTTTACTTTTATGCGTTATTACTTATTTTTCTTACAATTTTTATTTTAAATTAATTCTAATTAGTTGCAAAAGTTGAAGTTTATCCATTCTAGACACTTCCTCCGTTCAATCGTTGTGTTGTATGAAACCTTGAAAAAATTATCTCTTGAAGTGGAATTAAATTGTGTCCATATTTATTAATATCTAACGTCCTGCCTTGGTTTCGCAGGTGGAGGTCTAGAAATCCGTACTTATAGTTCTCTTGTTGTTGTTGTATTAGTCACATATGTAGTATTATAAGTGATATAATTGATTTATGAAACGTATTCTTAACACGGCAGTTATTAAGAACAAATGTACGGGCCCTAACTTTAAAAACTAAAGATTTGACGCATTGACGAGTCGGAACTGTGGCATACTAATTGTATTTCTACTACTAAATGTATTTCGTCAGTTTTAGTGAAATCTTTGCAATTTGTTTAAGTCACAATAATTTTGTACGATATCTATCTAACGATATATAAGTTCGAGTCCTACTTTCATCAGTCGACTTCCAGGTAATAATTTATTTACTATTTCAATCAGAACTTGTTTCTAAATAAAGTTTGGTTCAATGCAAATTTTTGTAATATCTGCTACGTGACTTCCGTTATCAACAAAGGGACATTTGTTTTTGTATTTAATTCAAGGTAAGACACATTCTTATATAAAGATACTATAGTTAACACCAAACTTATTATTGACAATAAAATGATTCCCTTCTTTATAGCCGAAACTACTTAATGAACTTAGAATTTTGAAAAATACATGAAACACTTTATTAATTACAGGAAAACTTGATAAGCCCTTTGCTTATCAATGATGATGCTTGTGTTATGTAATATGATAAATTTTTCTTGATGATGATGATGATGTTTAACACCGAACTTATCATTGAAAAAAAAAGATTCCCTTATTCATTTCCGAAACTAGTTAACCTAGAAGTTTGAAAAATACAGAAAATACTTCTTTTTTTATAACAGGAGAACTTGATAAACAAATGGTGTTAATATATGTAACACGGTAAATTTCTCAATATTGTACATACAAACTTACATTTACAATTATTGCACGGAACCCTTACCGCTCGTGATAAACACGCACTTGCATTCTTCATAATATTCTTGCATTCTTCCTAAACATTTATTGAAACTTAGTTTTCACCAGCCATAAATAAAAAAACTCAATGTGAATTTTTTACCTAGATCTTAAATAGCAGGTAATTATTTTGCTTTCATTTTGCTATGTATGAAAAAACCTAATCAGACTGACATGAATTCCTTATAAAATAACTGACGCGTAGGAACTTGTCGTATAGAAGTCGTATTTAACATGCTTGGCAAGATCTTAGTAGACCATGAAGGTGCAACTAAGTGTGACGAAGCATGTGAAATTACCCTTATTCACTAACACTTTTCCATGCACCAGCGTTTCTTATTCGATTACTTAGATATAATTATTAAATATATCGATATTTAATAATTATATCTAAGTAATCTCTTGATATTTACCAGTAAGTGTCTATCTAACTGTTTATAAATATGTATTTATGAAAATTAATATAGTATACTAAATTTAAAAAAATAAATATTTTTTATATACCTAACTCAATTTAATGGACGACGATAATCTTTTACATGCAGAATAGACTGAAGAATATACCTTGGGAGAGCCATGCCTAGGCAAAACCGGTCGGCTAGCCTGGGTCTATACCACGGCCTCATAGAAAACCGTCTATAAGCAACGTAATAATTTGGGCACAACTGCCCTCAATAAATCTACTCGCGGCAAGATCAGGCATATCCAGTCATCCCTCACCACGCTTATATCAGAGGCCTTCACTCTAAGCTTAACGCTGTCCACCACCATCTCAGTGAAAATCGCCTATCTCTTTTTAACCGAGACGTAGTTATCATCTCCATCGGACACATCCCACCCCTCCTGCCCTGGCTAGCATCTCGAACTCCTGTTGCTAGGATACCAGTTGTTGATACCAGGAGTTGATACCAGTTCTCGCTGCCGGCAATCTCGGCAATCTTGAAGGACGGGACCTCTCCATCTTGTGGCTCCGTATAGACAGCGACGACTATCTCCGGATCTATGCATGCCTCTACATGTGCCACAGCAGTAATACCAAGCTGACCGAGTGATGGACCACGTCCTGGTTGCAGATTTTGTGCTACAGCAGATCTCATCCGCAGAAATCGTGATACTTGGCGACTTTAACGCTCGCAATGCCGAATAGCTTGGCTCACGCAAAACCGATCACGTGGGGAGATCTGTTCACGATTTCGCCCTATGGCTTGTCATAACTGGTATCAACGCCCACGCGTGTCCCAAATGTGGAAAGTCATGAGCCTTTACTGCTGGACCTTCTGCTGACCTCTGATCCGGAAGGTTATAAAGCTAACGGCTTAGGCCTCACTTAGCTCCAAATTCAATTAAAACGATGTTGAAGATCCTGGCTGGTTTAAATGTATATAATTTCTTGCTTAATTGGCGAAGTGCAAATATGGCGACCCTTGTTCCGAAACCTGTCTAAAGCAAAAACTTGTTTTGGGTGATCGTACTCTCTCGTCGCAGTTGCTTTTTGCTATTTTTTTCCCTGTTATTTATACAATACGTTAACTAAATAATAATAAAATACTTTTTGTGTGACTGGTCTAATTAAACTAAATATTTAAAATAATTTCAAGGTGCCGCCAGTTCAAAAAAATTGACGGAGGAAGGAGTGAATTTTGCAGTGTTCTAACAATTCGCTAATGTAATTTGTAAACATTAATACGATATAATTTTATTTAAAAACTGTCAATGTAATTTTATATCGTATCGGCTACCGGTTGAGTCACGCTTCCGTTCCACTCAGTTTATCAAGAATGTGGGCCATGTTACTGATATTCCACAGCCTCGGTGTATTTCTGCATTTCAAATGCGTTAAATGTTGTCGGGTATGCTGCGAAGTAATTGCGCCCGGTACAACTACTCTCATTATAGATACAAGTTAGTCCTTAGAATATTTACAGCATCTTGGGTTAATTGCATGCTAGCTGTTCTTTGTTGCCAGTCTGTGATCGGGTGGCGCGATCTGGCTGGATGGATCCATGCAGTCGTTAAGATTCCATGTCAAATTCTACAGTATAACAAGCATTTTACTAGTCCCCTCGGTTAAGATTCCATGCCCAGACGCGTGAGATAAGCCGTACATATTGAAGTTTTTTAAATAACACCGCTCTTTAAAATACGCGACTTCTCGTGTGCTCTCTTCTACGTGTTGCTGAGTTTCGGTTAACTTATAATCATTCTCAGAAGCATAATAGTCTCTTATTTATTAACCCATAGTATTAAAATCGACAAATAAACAAAACTATTATAGCAATTAAGTTATGTGAGCGCGATTATCCCTATTTATTCATATTTACTAGCTGTGTTCGTGATATCATGAAAAGGGTTTTTACTGATGTGAAACCGTTTTACTTAAACGATTTTACACCTTGGGGGTCAATATTTATATATTGATCCCAAAGGTGTATCTTAAATTTCAATCTAATTTCGCAATAATATTTCTCATAAGAACGTTCTACTTACATTATGGCACTTTTTTATCAATATTAGCAGCTAAAATAACTTTAGAATCGGTTCTAGATCACGTAGACTATATTTTTAGCCCTCTGTGTTTTTATTCTGTAGTATATATGAATGTCCAATAAATTAAAGTGCCTTAAATTTTTACCTTGTAAGGAGCTGGCTTGCCAGCCGGTATGAAGAATGTGCGTTTGCCTATTTCCTCCTTTTGTAAAGTTTTTACATATTTTAAATTCTGAAAAACAAAAAACAAATAATTGCTTTTAAAGTATCCTTCATTACTTTATTAGTTAGTAGTAGTTAGTTTTTTTATTCACTTACACTTGCATTATTCACTGCATATATTCGATCACTAGCATTGAAACTCGTATTAGTTATAGCGTTGCATTTGGAGAGACGATAACTTAAAATGAGCATTGTGAAGGCAAAGAAGACGCGTTGTGAATCAACACAGAACATGTTGTTATAGTAAATACAATCACATACGTAAAGTAAACAAATAACGGTTCAAGTTATGGAATCACAAGTAACTATGGTGAGGTACCGTCTAACTCGGTAAACTTTATAAAAAGTGGTGGACAAAAATAAGTGGGGATGGTATGGATGACAATTTGATAGGAGTTTGAACAATGGTGCAGTCTAAGATGTGTCACACCCTGTTGGCTCGATTGCGAAGCCGTTTCACCGCCTTTGTTCGTAATAATTTATAATAATGGTCATGTTTGTCAGGATTATTTCATGGTAGCTGAACATAGCTGCGGATGCTTTCGACTTCCAGTGTGTGCTCACACTTTGTGCGGCATATGGTAAGATCTATTCTCTGTAGAATATATCCATGTGTATAATTAAGAGTAAATATTTAGTTGCTTAATTCAGTATTGACGTGATTGCATCAGTGATCTATTAGTGTAACTAAGTTGAGGAGAGACAGAAAATTTTAACTTTTGCCATGTGTGTCTGAATTTATACCACATGTCATTATCTGTTACAATCATAATCTGTTACAATTGTAATGGTATATTACAGTATCATCATCATCAACATCCTGTTTTAGTCCATTGCTAGACATAGGCCTCCAATGTAAGTAAAGTAATGGTTCCCTTAGAAATGAATATTAAAGTAGCCATAAATGTAGCGGGAAGGATTTCATAACAGACTTAATCGTAGTTGTGGTGTGGTAGTGTCATAGTAGAGTTTTACCTGATAGTGGAAATGGTAACAGGACGTAATGGAGAAGGATATCGCTGTTGTTAGAGTGTTCATAGACACGACTGATCAATAAATCATCTGGTGTGTTTGTATGCCTTCTTGCTATTGTAGAGCAAGTCATCGATATGTTCTACTCGTACATAGTACATGGTGTTTGATGATACAAGGGAACTCCAAGATATATATGTTAATAACTTGGGTTGCTTGTAAACAGGAGTAAGGGGCAAAAATGATACGTTGTAATAATTAAGAGATTATTTTTTTGACAAAAATATTTTTTGTTTTATTATAAAATTTTAGTTAAATTTTCTTATTTTATTTTTCTTTAATAAGGTTGAGGTATAATTCTGTTATGAAGTAGCAGAACTAGCATTGAAAATGGATTATATAGAACATCTATCTAAACAGTTCTAGATACAAAGAACAATTTGTAAGAAATACCTTGCACTCATAAGCGACTTGTCACAAAAACAATATGTTCAACAGCACGAACGTTTAGAAAGCAATACATTTCCCTATGTATAATGCGTTTTCTGTGTACAAACAAATCAACATTTTTGTACCATTATTCATCTACAGACGTGAGCATAGATCTTATTTTCGTTTAAAATTACATCTATGGTTATTAGCGTTGCAATTATCTCATTGCAGGCAAAACAGCCGTATGTGGCGACTGAGGTAACTATAAAGAATTACTACTATTTACTTCCGATCTGTTTTAATATAAGTTCATTTGTTAACTTGTACATATTCTAAGAATTATGAACAAATTCTAGGTCAATAACCTTTGCTTTTTCTTAGTTATTTTTGAACCTGTTTAATCGACGTGTTTACGTTAACATCGAACCATTTAAACATTCTATATAAAAAAACAAGTGTGTAAGCTTTTAACCTTGTTGAAATTTCTAATCTAAAATGATAAACCCACTCTTAATGAAATATGTCGAGTTAGTTGCATCAACACCACCGTTCTGAAGTAGTTTCATTTATATAGGTAATTCCTATTACAAAAAATCTGCAGTTTTTTTTTTCAGTAAAATTATTTAGGACTTTTTTAGTTTATTTTCTTTAACATTTTTTTTTTACTTACTTCAAATAATATTCAATGTGAAGGTAAAGAATACTGCATAGTAATAACAACAACTTTTCCTTGTTTTTTGTGCCTAAACAGATATGTCTATGACTAAACTTAACCTGAATACCACAAAAAAATTGGCAGAATAATGACAGCATAAAAATATATTGCATATAATGTTTACATTTTTCGTATAATGCTTTTACATGAGTGATTTCAGCAAGTGAACTGCCCACTGCTCAACATTACTGGGAAAGGAGCAGAGGGCCCGTTTTATTAGTTTTAAATTATTTATTTCGCGGCAACAGATTTACGATTGGCACCGCGATATATCAGGCGCCCGCCAATAAAATTCACTATACAGTGATATAACGAGACTGGAACTGGAAGGTACTTGTTATTTATTTTTCAGGAAAATAATTCAAAAGTAAAGCTTCACTCGTAAGTACACGGGTACTTCTACTGTAAATGCATAGGGTTGTTCTATACAAATTTGATCGAGTCGCCGAAAAATTCGGATAACTCCACACAAGTTAAAATAACTCAACTATATTAATGCTCGTGTTTGATTTTTTTCTTATCAAAATCTTACAGTGCAATAATATTTGAGTTAGGGGCCTGTTGGTTTAGTGGTTAGTGACCCTGACTGCTAAGCCGGAGGTCGTGAGCTCGATTTCCACACAGAACAAATAATTGTGTGATGAGCACGATGATTGGATCTGTGTCTGAGAGTAATTTATCTATATGTTTGTATTTAGAAATATTTAAGTATGTTTGTCAGCAGTCTAGGTACCATAGTACAGGCTCTGCCTAGATTGGAGTCAGACGGCCGTGTGCGTGATGTGAGAAGTTATTATTATTTAGACATAACATTTAAACGTATAAGTAATATGTATTTACATTTTACACATAAGAAAACATAAACAAGTTAGAGCATAATAGTTTTTTTTATGGAAGAGGCGGTAAACGAGCGGACAGGTTACCTGACGGAAAGTGACTACCGCCGCCCATAAACGCCTTTAACTTAGAAGTTCCAAGCGCGTTATAAAATATATAAAATACTACAATATCTCAAAAATCGTACTTAAATCAAATATTTTTCAAACGAAGATGTCTTCTAAAGCACGTATATCCCTTATTTTGGCCGTAAATCTTTACTAAATAAGAATGCATCACCATTAAAAAATCTCCTAATAAGTTTTCTGCCGTTCTGAGAAAGATTTTCAAAAAATATTATGGTAATATGTGCCATGATTGCTAAGCCATTTCTAGTTTCTTTATTTGTTTGGTTTGATATCTAGCGTCAGGTAGCTCAAAGCCCCTTTTATTTTACGATCTTAAATTCTTCAAGAGATACATACATAGGTGTAAAAAGTAAGGAATTCTTTTTCACAGTGCTATGTAGAAGATTGAAAGAGGGTAGCAAGTAAATGGCCTGACCAGGATTAATGGAACATGTAGTTATTTTTAGTGTATTGTGCAATTCTATCGGCTTGTGGTTTTCTTTTATTTATCTAAATGTCTATATTCTAGGAAGAAAGGCTTTTGGGGATTGTACTTCTACCCTTGCTTCCATTTCAACATGCTACGTTTTTGTTGCAAAATCACAAACCGACCAAAATATCTTAGCCTCTCCAAAGTTACTTTATTAGCTCTAGCCTTTGATTATAACTTTAGGCATTATTAGTATAAAGCAACGCATAGCTGCTCGGGTAGTATAACGTACGTACATTTACATAACTATATAATTTTATAGAACACAAAAAAAAACTAAAACAATTTTAATTCTTAACCGTATCGTATAAAAATCAAGGTGCATTAAAAAGGCGTTACTGCTCGAAATATAGAAAATATTTACTTAAAACAAATAATTATCAAAACTGTAACAAGATTATTTTTACTATCAATGATTTTTTTATTCGGACCTTACCAAGACTTTATTTATCACATCAAAATCAGTTTCTGCATAAATACATCCTGAGATTGACCTTGGGTTGTTTAATTTTACTTATTAATTAGACGTTTTAACGTACTCGAACAAACTATCCTTATGATAACTCAGGAACAAGCAAATTTTTTTTCTTCTATAATAACTGATTTTATTATATATATATCAATATGCTTTATTAAACACAGTATACTGTTCAAGTTACAATAATGCAAGTTAGTAAGTTCTCAACACAAGTTTTTAAAGTACTAACTAAAAACACATCTATCAATGTTAACCTAAAGAGATTTTAAGTTGGATCGTCAACGATATCGAATTGAGGTACCTCGTTCGTAAGAATCTAATTTCTAAGCTTAGGAAAGCATCGATCAATGTCTGCCACCTTCAAAGAGCATATCGAAGATTGGAGGCAAAACAGAAGGTGTCACTGTGAATGGATCGACACGTAAACGAGTATCAATAGAGTTGAGATATATGTGATTTGTAATTCTGAACCAAAGAGACTTGCTATCGTTTCTTAAGACTTCCTTTTGAAGTTATCAGAAAGATTTATTTTGTATCCCGTATTCTTAATATGGAGTTTCGTGTATACGGAAGTTTATTTCTGATTCTCATCATTATTTACGGTTCTTGTGAATGCTAACATGTATTATTTATTGACTCAGATAATATTTTGACAACATTTTGTTTGTTATGAAAGATCGTGAGGTATTTTAAAGGGGTATTCATCTGCTAGCATATGTAAATATACAATCAGCCAAGAAGGGGCTGGCATTCTTAAACGCTCCCATGTTGCCAATTATAATTTAGTCGCACTCACTTAGTACACGATAACGCTATTCCCGGCAACTTAGCACTTTAGGAAATTAGACACGGTTAACGATACCTGGAGTTGATCGAGATCGCATTCCTGGAATTCGAACTGGCTGTTGAGAAAGTGTGCCTTCTCGCGTAGATATCTGCTAGCAGCTAAAGATAAAGTAACAAGTATTCAATATCCATACCTATATTATAAATGTGAAAGTGGGTTGGTTTGTTACGCTTTCACGCATAAACCTCATCACATCACATCATCATCACGCAAAATTCTTTCACAAATGGAAAGCTACAGTATCAGCAAGTAATCAAGGCTACTTCTTACCTCAATAACCGACATACACGCGCGCTGAGCATTTTTTTTTCCGT